TTTCCCCAGTATATAGATTACTTATTATTTAATACTTTAAATCAAATCAGCTAGGATTCCCATTACAATGTTAAGCAGTGGTGGTAATGATGGGTTTTTACTCTTATGTGTTTAGTATGAATGCTTCTACAGTTACACTTCAAGTTTACTAAATTTAATTTCAAGTTAGAAGGTTTGTTAGCTTAATAATACTTGAGTATTAAACTTTGTCAAATGCATTTTTAACACTTATTGAAATATTTGCCCTTCTCTTTTTTATAAACTAACATTTTCCTACTGTGGAACAACACATTAATTAATATGATAAACGAATTAGAATGTTATTGTTATAGAATGTTATTATTGCAATATGCTTCTTACATCAGTTAGGTTGAGAGAAGTTAAAATCAGTAGGACACACATACGAGGAGACCTACTATAATGAACTGACTTACTCAAGCTTGAGGGCTGACATAGCAAGCCTAAGATCTCAGGGCAGAGCATTGAGGAGGGCAGGCTGAAATTCTAGGCTGAAACTTTTATCCACAGATGGCATTTCTTCTTTCAAAAAACCTCAATTCCACTTTTAAGCCACCTCAAAGGATCGAGTAAAGTTCACACAGATCACCTAGGATTATCTCCCTTATCTAAAATAGCTGATGATGAACTTTAACTACAAAATACCTCCACAACTTAAGAGTTTGAGTAACATAGGGCTGTTGCCTAGCTAAACTGACACATTAAAGAAACTAATACAGCCCCACTGCTTGTCAATTTGATGACACTACACATCTCCTTAACCCATACTTAACTTCTAAATAAGGACAATAACAAAATCATACTTCTGCATAACATGAGGTAAGTACCTGTATATATAATCAAAAACACCCTAGTTCTATCTCCAGAAAAGGACACAAAGATCTTCAATGATGTATACACTTCTTTGATATTCAGTAACTTAAATAGTATTATGTAATTATATTACTTATATACCTTAAGGGAGATGACTGTGCATTATAAAACAAGAATTAAAATGGTTAATATATATATATACAAACATAACAAAACAAGCAACTATGACAGTCCTTATTTCTGTAACTAGCCACAAGTTCACTTAGTGTTCAGCTGATTTTGGTCTGTGCCTGGCCTAAGCCATTACCAACTCTCTGAATTGGGTGCTATAATTTTCCATTAATCACGGGACATGGTAGTAATAAGAAAGACCTTAAGGTATCTATTGGATTCTGCCAACCAAGAATACTTTTTCAGAAAGTGATCCTTAAGAAATGCAGGAGAATGGTAGCTGTGGGATTCCTACTAGATTTTGCCTTATAATGATGAAAATTCTTCAAATTGAAGGGTTTAATTAGTAAAATGAAGTATTTCATGTCACACAATGGGTAAAGTTTATAGACTCAGAATATACTATTGTGATATGTTAACTATGTATCAGCATCACCTGAGCACTTGCTAGAAATCTAAGTTCTGGTTCCATTGCCAACATATTTTAATTAATATACTTTAGGTGAAGTGCAAAAATACATATTTTACTTAATATACTTTAGGTGAAGTGCAAAAATACTGTAGATGACTCTTCTATTTGGTAAACTTGTTAGTCACTGCAATAGTTCAGATGTACAAAAGCAAATGGTGCATAAAAGCAAATATAGGAAAATGTTAATGAGTCAAATTTTTTAACAAAAATATGACCTGGGTACAGGAAAATAAAGAAACTACAAAGACACTACAGAGAGCTCAGAAAGTGTATATGGATAGAGACTTCATATATAATAAATATTGTGCAACAGATCAAAAGGAAAAAGGCTTAGATGATATAAACATGAAGCATAACTCTACTTTTACATGATAAACAATGTTGACTCTAGATGGAATAAAATCTAAATGTTAACAATAAATGTGTATAACTAGTTGATATGTGGGGCAACTGCTTTTGCTCAGCAATGCAAAGATTTAAGGATGATGAAGCATAAATACAAATCTATTACTTTTTTTCAAAGGGCGCCACATCATAAACAAAGGTAAACAGAATGTGGACTGCGAGAAGGTATTTGCAAAGTCTAAAATGAAGAGTAAACAAGGAATTTCTATAATTCAATGTTTAAAAAAATCAGAAAAATGGGCAAAATAGGACATTTGCAGAATGGTAAAACCTTGATAGCTAACAGTGCATTTGTCAAACACATAAGCAAGCAAAAGAATGAAATTTAAACCAAGATCAAAATTTATTTATCCAACATGCAATAGTTAGAAAGCCAGTAATACTGCTTGCAAATATGTGGGAAAATGAGATGCATGTCTACCTAGTGGGAGTATTAACTGTTGCAGACTTTCTGGAGAGTACTTAAACAGTACTTTGTGAAATAGTAATTATGACCTAACAATCATACTCTAGGTATGTACTGTAGAGAAATTTTCACATAGGTTCATAACATGGCATGAGAAGGAAGATACTCATTGTGGTGTTTGTGGCAGAAGAGCAGTGAAGAGTAGGCATTGTAAGATGTTCATCACTTAAAAATTGGATAAGTCAAACTGCATCATTGTGCAAAAAAATCTATAGCTTGTTGCATTTATATAACCATAACGCTAAATATTCTTTATATAATAATCACCCCAACATCCAATTTTAATTTTTCTAGAGCTTAAAATTAACCAATACGGGGGCCCTCCCTGGTGACGCAGAGTGTTAAAGCACAGCCCTATGAAGCTAAAGCCACTTCACCATGAGTTCAATCCCCAGCCCCAGAGGTGACCCACATGGTGTGGCAGTTGCTCCCCTCAGCACTTTGTCAGTTGGCCTGTTCTGCTTCCTACTCTGTCTCTGGTGAATCCTCTCACTACCCCTGCACCTCTGGCCTGTACCCCAGTTCTGTATGAATTAACCAGTATGTGTTTCTTTTAGAAAGTCTAATTCTCATTTAGTACTTTATATCCATGGTATTATTTACTATAATACTAATTACTCTTCTTTCTACTTTACGATGTGACTCCAGTAAACATTATTTCATGGATCCCAAATCTTTGAAGATTTTAAAATCTCATTTATGCATACAAGAACTGGGATGTAGGCCAGAGGGTGAAAGAAGTCACCAGAGACACAGTTGGTAGCAGAACTGGCAGATCCACTGAAATAGTGTTGAGTGGAGCAGAGGGCCAGACAGGAGACGTCTGCTGCACCATGTGAGCCAGTTCATGGTCAGGGAAAGAACCCATGCTGCAATGACTGGCAATAGCCAAGAGCACTGAGACTTTAATCCCTGCACCACTAGGGAAGTCCCCCAAATCTACTTTTGAGATTTTTTTTAGTATATCTCCATTTTGGAGGGACTTTCTGGGAGGTAAATTTTGAGACATTTAATTCCTGAAACATCTCATCTTGTCCTCTGACTTGAATAATGTTAAAGTTTTTAATATATTGTGTTACCTGTATCCTAGCATCCAAATTTTCCAATCCAATTTTATTCACTTTACAAGTAATTTCCTCTGTATTTTGAAACACTGTAGGATGTATTCTAGAGCTGACCTGCGGTTTCAAGTGATGTGCATGTTTATAATTATCAGTGAACTGAATGGTACTGAGGGCCTTCATGTCAGTTCTATAATTTAAAAAAATTTTCCTCCTTCATTGTATCCACCCCTCCTTTCCAACTGCTTTTGGTTTGTGTTGTAACGTGAAATTTTTTCATCTTATTAAGTTTTGCATTTCTTAGTTCATTTGTAGTACATTCTTTGGAATCCAAATCTGAAAAGCTCAGACTTGTTCTTTAGATGTATCCTTCTCAGTCTTCAGAACTAAATTTACTGTGGTAAATTATACTTTAAATAATAAAGATATTAACATGCTTTAGTAAGTTCTGTGAGTTCCGTGTTTTTATTCCTCAGAAGGAATAGATTTTTTAGATATTATTGACTGGTGTTTTCTTTATAGTTCTCATCTTAGTATGAACTTATCTGAGAAAGTCACTTTCTAAAACTCTTTACACTAGTGGTCAAAGGACACCAAATAGGGTAGGTAATGCTACTTCAAAATGATACTGTTTTCCTCTCAAGTCTGTGCATCCAGACTGACCACTTCTGCTTTGAGCCATACAGCACACTGCCTGGCATTAAAAAAAAAACAAACAAACAAACAAACAAAGGGCACTCCAATTTTGTATAATACAATATCCCAAACCATTTAGAATTCTTCTTTCTTGATCCTTTATCCTGTCTCTTCCTGTGAGGCACCCTTGAGGTCAAATTGACCTTTCTTGGTAAAATTCTCTGGTCCCTCTCTTTTCATGGTATTAAAATGTTACCCATCCACTCTACTCCTTTTGTTTCCCAAAATTACTGACATTAGTGACACCTGAGAGTCTACTGAGGAGCTTCCGCTACCCATTCCCGTTCAAAATGGGTTTCTCAGTTGCTTGGATGTTACAACTACACATTTTTGGAGACTACAAATTTTGATTTTGCAAATTACTTCATGAAGAAAATATATAAACCTGAGTTTTCCAAAACTGCTTTTGACTATGCCCCTAGGCTTAAAAATCCTGCGTTAAATAAACATCATTTTTATATATAAACGGTAAACCTTTTCTGAACTCTCTTATACAGAGGGAATTACCTGAAAGTACGAACTAGCAGCATTATCTAAGTTACCTTCTAAAAGAAAAGTGGTATCTTGTTCCCACATACATCACCAATTATGTATGTATTTATCAATGCTTTTGTGAATCAAAAATTATTTTTTGCTTCAATGGCAATTAAGCATTTCAACAAAAAGAATGAATAATGCCATTAGATATTTAGCTATTCATATGTCTGGAACTGAAAAACATTTCCTATCGCAAAGGCTTCCTTCTGATGTATGAAACAGGAAAGGTAAACTACATTTCCTGCATGCCCACAATTCCAAGGGTTTAAGTGCTCAAAGAAAATAGTTGTGTATGCTTCATTTTATGAGCATTCGCATCCTGAATTCCATAAAATAAGTCACACAACATTAAACAGCATTGTTTATTACCTGTTTTCTGTGTTACTTCAACAATTTAGGTATATACAAAAATTTGGAATGTTTTAAAAATGCTGATAAAAATATCACAAAGCTGCTAATGGGATTTTAAGAACAGCAAATTAATACCTAAACTTTTAATTCTGTCTATGGCATTGTGTTTAAAAGAATCTTCAAGTATATACACATCTTGTAGTCCGAGAGAGGTCAGAAAAATATTTACAAAATAAATATGTAGGGTATTTTGGAATTTCATGAATGATAAATGGATGACTTTAATTGGCATAAACTTTACTTGTATAAACAATTCTATGCCATATACATCTACTCTGTAGATGTATATTATTTTTAATGGCTTAAAATTTTAGGGTGGTCAATTAATTTTAGACACTAAAAATATTATTACTCTTCCATTCAAATTTTGGAAATTTATTATTATTGAAACAGTTCTAATTAAGAGTTCTTGTTATTTAACTTACATTTTCCATTATTTAGAAGGAAATGTGGTTGTTAGTTTAAGTGCAGAACTTTTTTGCTTTTAGTTTTATATCATGTATCATATTACTTTTCAGTAACAAATTTTCAACTTCTTAATTCAGAACACTGAAAATGTTTAAATTAGCTAAAGTAAAATGCTAGTGCATACAAGCCTTGCTTCAGGTGTCATATTGCATACAATATGAAGACAATTAAATGAAGGCTAAATCACTGACAAATCAGTTGTTTTCTGTGGCCTACTTCCTTTTCCAGAGTTATAGTGTGTGTATCTGGTTCAAGGTAAAATACCTGAAAATGTCATTAATAGTACTACTTTAGGTATCCCTTGTTAAATGCAGAATGTGACTGTGAAAAATTATTAAAGTCAATACAAGTCATGTAAATATCTTACAATGCCAAAATAAACTACAAATAAAGGTAACACCGAGGCTTGTCTTAAAGAAATTTGTCATTCTTTTTTTAGAGATTACAATACACATACAGTAAATGAATTTTATCAAAATACAGCACATTTCTTCTACTATATTCATAAAAATCAATTCCTATGTAAAGAGTACTGAAAATCAACTAAAATTAGTTAAAATTTACAAAGAGTTGTTAAAGGGTTTCAATCAATATTATTAAAACTATACAGTACAATAACCAATTCTTATCATCTTAAAAGAAGTGCAATATTTGAGTTCACATATTTTTTTGTTTAATATACTGCCTACTCTCACTAGCAATAAAGGAACAAGTCCAACTCACTTTTACAAAAATGCAGATTGCTGGTTTTGCTAATCCCATAAAAGTCTTAATTAAAACAAGATTTAAGAAGAAAGCGTTAACAGATTAAAATTTCAAAATTATTTTTCTTAGTAATTAAAAGAAAGGCTCCAGGCTAGCCTTCGCTGAAAACAGTTATTGGTCTTCTATGGCACTTTTATCTGGTTCAGTAACCATGCATTAGTTCATACATTGCATATTACTCAAATTTTATTTGGTTACACAGACATAACAAAAAGAAAATTAATGGTTTGGATAAGCAAAATTAATATAAATCTACCAAATATTGTTACACTAATGAGGAACAAAGGCAGTTGGTGCGCAAAACACCATTATATTTATACATTTAGAAACCCTTTAAAGACTCTGAAGTGTCGAGTTCACATTAATGTTATTTGTAGGAACAGCCCTTTATTTGAACACCGTTTACACACTGGTAGGTTTCAAGGACCCATCACTTTGCTCTATGTCTCTCCACAGCAATTCTCTATCATTGTGCCTGTTTCACAAACCTTTGGTTTCCTAGCTCCATGCGAACTGTTTCATTTTACTTAACCAAGGCAATGTGAGATCAAACAAAATTAAGAGGCTTTCCTGTATCTTTTCATATTTTGTGTTATACAACATAATCAGTAAAACTGGCGTTTTTGTTTTTTGTTTGCTGCTTAAAATAAAAATTACAAGTTAAGATTAGAATGGAGTACTAATTGCAAAACAGATTGCAAGTACACCATTTGCCAAAAAAAGGGAGGACTTCCACAGCACATAAAATGTATGGACATGAATCTACAGTAGAGTTAAAAACTTCCTGTCACTAAATAATTAAAAATCGAATCACGAGTAATAGCAAATGTACAGTCAATGGCTATGACAAGAACAGATCCTGTAGAACTCATAAAATACAATTATCTTTTTTTATTTCTTTAAAAAGACATTACATTTTTATTGCATTATTCTAGTAATAAAAGCACATTAACAGACAGCTGTGTATTCATTCTTTGCTTCTAGATTTTTATAGATTAACTGTTTTCACTTGGCCTTGGAAAGTGAACCCACCAGCACCACCTTCACCTACTCACTCATCAATTCAATATGCACATAGCAGAAGCCAACACTCCAAATCTCTTGCCCACATTAAAATAAAAATGTTGTTTTAGCGGAAAAACTTTAATACCTGTTGAATAAAAATAAGGGCATAAAAGCTGTGAGACAGATAGCTCTGCCATCAGTCTCTGGGCTACAATCAAGGCTAATTAGAGCCTTTTACAGATTTCAGTCTTGTGTATGAAATCCAAAAATAAACCTACAATCTATACAAAAACAACATATACTTGTTTTTGTAGCCTTGATTGCTATGCTTAAAAACCTAACAGGAAGTTTCATATGGTATGAATTCAACAGTCTCTCCTATATACTGTACAGTGGTTCTTTCCCTCTAACCACAAGTTCTGTTATTTCATTAATGTACAAATTTGAACATAATTTTTTGAGTTCTTTATATATAAAAATAGTCAAAATATTAATTTCCCCTGCAGTATCTTTCAATACGTCTTGCTGTCTTCCCCCTCTTTTTGTCCACAAAGCTTATGAGGAAACCTCTCGTACAATGATGAGTTCTACTGTGTTCTGGAAAGTTTTTAGCAAGGATACTGCTTGTCCATGTTCAATATTGATAAAACTGTAGCCATTAGCCTAAAAGAAAGAAAAATGCTTTTAACAAAGATATTTCATATTTGCATTTGTGCATTTAAATTTCTGCCACATAGTCCACAAATCTGACAAAAATAAATCATTTAAGCAGTTTAAAACAACAGAATCCTAGGCATTATACCCAACATTTTACAGAAATAAAATCTCTGAAAGTGGGATGCAGCAACCTCTATTTTGTCCACATTTATAGCACCCCAAATTGCTACACTAGTCTAAGAATATCAGCTATGATGTGTATGTTTGAAACAGAGGGCACCAAGTTGCAAGGGTAGCAGAGGGTGAAGCCGAGGCTTTCCATGCCTTGTAGCTATAGAACACTATTTAGATCAAAAGAATACTATGCTTCGAAATGCTCATAACACAGAAGATTCTTTCACCATCTCACTTCAGAGAAGAGAAAACCCAGACATGGAAAATATAGTATGTTAATAGTCCCCAAACTGAAACCATAAGTTCCAAATGGTTTAGCAAAATAAGAGTGTATTAAATAAAGTTGCATGAATGAGTGTATGTGGCAAGAAAGGAGGATGGGAAGAAAAGAGTAGGAAGTAGAGAGACAGATTTGTCTTTCTAAGACAGTGTTCATAGTAAGGTTAGGTAAAACGAATAACTCAAGAGAGAAAAGGAGGAAGCATGGGAAAATAAGGAGGTTCCCCAAACTTTGAAGTGTTCTCCATTTCCTGTATGACAGACTTCCTCTAAAAGGGGCATTCTGGGCCCTCCCTGGTGGCACAGCAGGTTAAAGCACAGCACTAAGAAGCTAAAGCCACTTCAGCATGAGTTCGATCCCCACCTGCCCTTGAGGTGATCCACATGGGGCAGCAGACCTCTCCTGACCCAGTTGCTGCTCCCTTCAGCAGTGTACTTCGTTGATCTGCCTGTTCTGCTCTCCACTCTGTCTCTGGTGACTCCTCTCACCTCCCCTGCACCTCTGTTCTGTATGCATACATAAATTTTTTTTTTAAAAAAGGGGGGGCATTCTAATTTCCTAAAAATGTTAAAGTAAATATGCCTGAATTTAACTAAAAAGGCTATAATACATCAAACACATCAGTATGATTTTCCAAGGTAGACAGTGGGAATAGTTTAAACTACAAAAGTACTAGAGGATAGTTTCTAAAAAGGCCAGTTTTCATTCACAAATATTTAAAGATAAACTTCATAAAATGATTATTTTCAAATCTGGCACTCAAATTTTTTTTTTTAAAGATTAATTTTTATTGATGCATACAGAACTAGGGTACAGGTCTGAGGTGTAGGAGCAGTGAGAGGATTCACCAGAGAGAGTGGGGAGCAGAACAGGCCGACTGACGAAGAACACTACTGAGGGGAGCAGCAGGCAGGTCAGGAAAAGTCTGCTGAGCCATGTGGATCACCTCCAGAGTGGGGATCGAACTCATGCTGAAGTGGCTTTAGCTTTTTAGTGCTGTGCTTTAACCTTCTGTGCCACCAGGGAAGGCCCATGGCACTTAATTTTTTCTCGATGAGGAGGCAGATATTAGAATATGCTTAATTTTTTCTCGATGAGGAGGCAGATATTAGAATATGAAAAATATTGAAAAAAAAAAGATAAATCTTGGTTACCTGAATAATTTTATCACCTGGTTGCAATAACTTTGATGCTGGTCCTTCAGGTTGTACCCTTGTTACAAATATACCCTTAAACAACCAAAAAAAAAAACAAAACGTAATTACTTAATGGAAAACAGTACATGTAAGCAACATAATACCAAAGAGAAAGCTTCTCTTTCACATTATGTAAACATTTGAATTGTGGTACTATTCTCTATGTCTTTTCTGAAAAGCACTTGACAAACCAAATGTTGTTTCTGTCACCAGTAACCGGACATGAATATACAGACCTCTGTTAAAGTGGAAATGTTAGCTGAATAAATGTGCAGAAAATTAAGATAACTTCATAATATTAACATTTAAATTTTTAGTGAACTTTATTCTCAATTATTTTGGTCACATAAGAAAACACCATTTAGAAAGAAATCATAAAGGTGTCATCAATCTATTCTTACATAAATATATTATATTTTTACTTATATATGAGGTATTAAATTAGAAGAGAAAAACTTTATGGGTATTTCAAAGATATATACACAAAACTCACATCATCATCAGGTCTGAATGGGTTTCCTCTACCCCCAACACCTCCTGATATGCTAAATCCAAGTTCTGGATCTTTTTCAATCCTCACTCGAATCTGAGTTAATATATGAAAATTAAATAAATAATTATTACTATCTCAGAAAAAAATACAGCATTAAGTTTTTAAAAATACTGTTAAATTCAAGCACACACAAAATAACTACATGTAAAATATTCCAGCAGATAAAGTGAAACTGTTAACACAGAATGTTAATTAGTTAGTGAGTTAAAGGCATAACTGGTATTATAAAGCAAAGCTCCTAACTTACTCTTTGTCTTATGATAGGCAACTGATTAATGCTGACCACACATCATATTTTTAAATATGGATTTTAATGACAATATACATACAAGACATGTATTTTTATTATCATTTTTTATTTGTTATGTATCTAAATCACACAGTATCTCTCCAATATTTTTATTATATTAACTCCTTGAATCTGTTTACATGCTCCCTGAAGTTGGTATTAATGATTCAATGGTAATTTTTTTATAACCAAGTTACAGAAAGGATGCAAGAATTAAAATTGTTACAAAATATTACCTTTTCCCCAGAGATTCACTCAAAATGATTTATTTATCCTCTACCTAAATTTCTAATGTTATTTCATCAATAGTATATTAGCAAAATATATGACTAGTAAATTTTAAAATCCTTTCAAGATTTGATTTTTAAAGTATTATGGAGTCCATAGACAAATTTCAAAACCTGTGTGTAAAGTAACAGTAAATCATAATATTCCACTCAAGTTTAATGGTCTTTGACTTATATTCTATTAAGTGTATCCATGAAGGAGGTTTGATTACTAGAGTATCAATGAGTTCTGGAAAAACTACCACCTTAGAAAGTAAGATCATGCCCCAAATACTAAATCCTGTACCAATTAATTAATCAGGACTGGCAGATAAAAGGAGGGAACATAGTCATGCCCAACATAACATGAAACCAAAATTCAAAACAAAACAATAAAATCTACATTAAAGTTCTATGGATTTATTGCTGATAATAACCTAAAGTTCATTAGTCTCATATTTCAAATATTCTTGATTATTCTTACCTCATGCCTTGCCAGTTCATGGCCTTGTCTAGGAGAACAATGGGGCTGTGTATATGGAGGCTGGTGGGCCACCTTCAGCATCAAGTAATCAATTAGTTGTTCTCTAGAGGGGTGCCTTGCCACAGCTGCCTGAGGAAGGGGGTGATGTATTTGACTATAATTTGCCTGAGGCCTGAGAGGCTGGGCCATCTGTCCATTACTCAAAGGCATCTAAGAAAAACATGAAGTGTCTTAAAATGACCAATCATAATGTGTTAACACAAAAATATGGACTTTATTAAAAGCATCAGTAACAATCTAAATCATACAATATAATGTCACCTACACTGTTTTTCCCTAATTTCATACTTCTAAAGGAAAAAAAAAAAAGCTATTGATAATCTCAAGTCTAAATCTATGTAAGTGCTTTTGTTGACAGATTCAGTCTTTAAAACTTTCAAATAAAAGTAAATCATATTTGTATTTTAACTTATTTGCTTCCCTGTTAGGAATAATCTCTTAAGAAACCAAATGTTAAAATGGTATTCATGCCATAATTTTAAAATTTAAGTAAGTTCATTCAATGGTATCTTTCCTCATCTTATACACACATTAAAATAAAATATGCATTTGCTGATGTTTTTCTTTAGAACAAAAGCAATTAATATTGTAGTAGAATTTTTTCCTATTCTGAGTTTATTTTTTACCTTTCTTTCTAGAATTAAGAAGCCTAAAACTGATTTATTCCCTGTATGGATTAGTGATTTTTAAACTTTCTAAATACAAATCCCATATAATGTTAATAACAAAAATTAAACCTTAACTTCTGTTTTACTTTTCACCAACTAAATAAAACACCAAATATTATTATTTTGTGGCTGCTAGACAACTGCTTTGCTTTAATGTTCTTATTTCTTAGGGATTGAATTTTAAGACTCAAAATCACCTTTGTAGTAATGTGATTAATAGCTTACTTCTCTCAGTGTGAAAACTCTATCTGAAAGATAAGAGTTTACATATCTGCATTACAAATATTTGGAGATCTTTCAGAAGAAATATTTAAGCAATTCAATCATTTAAAACTTCATTGTTGATTATTACCAAGAGGGTGGACTCAACTGGATGGAAATTACAGGAACAATTATGAGAGAAGTTTTTGGGTCCCATTTTCTAAAAAAATTATTCAAAAGCAAAAGTTTTGGAAAAATTCAGATAATCGTTAAATGTTCACTCATATAAACCTTCATGAAAGACGAAAAGTTTGGCTTTGGTGAGAAAGATTTTTATTTAAAAACTCGCTCATCATACTATTCAAAAGGCTATGGACATATATATGGGGGTGTCTCATGACAGGATACAAAGATGATATTACTCTATGTTATTAGAAGAGAATAAGAATGAGGTTACTGTATTACCCCTGTACCTTTTACCTGTTTTTTTTTTTTTAACTTATGAATTGGTTACTACTTAAGGAGTACTTAAATGGTTGTGTTATTTTATTACTTCTCTGTAAGTAGTACTTTCCTCCATATTTGTACTACTTGTCCCATATCTATCCCTTGGGTAGAATTTTCCAGTTAACAATTATTTCTGATCTATCTTTAAGGATCCCTAATACCTAGACACTTCACTGTGTCTCATAACGCTACATCAATGTTAAACACATACATGGAATACATTAAGCTACAATTAGCATATGGTTCAGAAAACTAAAAAGCATAAAATAAACTCAGTAACCTAAACCACAAAATAGATACTAACAAGAAAAAAACAAAACAAAACAAAAACTAACAGATTTAGTTTCAAGAAAAACAGAAGGTGAAAATAAAACAATTTATATGAACTTATGTGGTTGGGTCCCTACTCTCAAGAATAATTTTTTTTATAAAATAATAATTCTACTATATAATTCTACTTCTTAACTATATCTGATTCTACCAGTGGTGTAGAATTAGTTCTGAGAACGAACAGTAAAGAATTAGCTTTCTGCACTGATGACAGGAAAGTAACATCTAAAAGAGAGATGCTTCCTTTACAAAACCATATACAAGTTTTCAAGGTTAAAGTACTTTTAAGTGCCTAACATCTTCAAATGAAGAACTTAAGACAAGTCCATCTCAATGCCAAAATCCTCTGATTCAAATGATAAATAAATAATGGCACTACAGAAATCCAAAACCAGTAATAGTGATTCTGGTGTGGGGAAGAAAAAAATCACAGAATTGATGAAAAAGGAAATAAGATTTAAATGCTACTTATTTTTTAATTATTAAAAGGCTACTAATCAAAAGGAAGACATCATTTTAAAAGTATTTTCAGTGGTAAAATGTATGACTTTTAGTTTAAAATTATAAAATACAGTGAGCTCACAGATAATACTTTATTTCCTAACCACCTACTTTCATCAAGCTGTCTGGAGGAACATCTTTGTTACTAAGTGTAGCTGAAGAGTAGTTCTGCTGTCCTGAAATGAATATATCATCTTGACAAGGATCTCCTGGACAGGATGTCTGAGGATGCTTCAAATGAGGAAATAGAAAGTAAACAAATAATGATCTTTCAGATGTGAAACCGAAATGATGATGACACTTGAGAGGAGGTTAGGAAAATATAGTCAGTAATAGAAAAATGAAGAGCCAAATCATATGTTAACAATGTAACTGCCATCATCTTTAATACTTTTTATGATGGCTCTTAGTAAACTCATTGTGATAACCATTTCAAAATATATGTACATCAAATGACTATGATATGTAACCTAGACTAATACAATATTACATGTTAATTATATATATAAAAAAAAAAAACTGGGGAAATAGTACCTTTAAATGTGTCTGTACCATAGCCAAGGGTTTTTTCTTGTAATGTGTGAAAAGTATGGAACAATGTACACTGTTATTTCTTTATAATGCTTTTACTTATTCTGATATATAATGTTTAACATTTTATGCAATAAATTTAGTTATTAATCAAAATTAGGAGTACTAAATTTTAACAGCAACTAAAATACATCCTCATTGAATACTACAAACTTTTTTGTTTAGAAACAACCAACCAATTGCTACTTTTTTAACAGCACATTATCACCCAGGAACTTCTTTTTAGTGATGAGCAATACCAATACACTTAAAAATTGCTTTAGCTTAATGCTATCATACTAACATTAGCTTAATATTTCAAAAGTACTTGTTAGTAATATTTTAAACTTAGAGTTCATATTTTTATCACCAAACAGGTATCCTTATGTTATAATTTACCATATTCGTAACATTAGAAATAAATACACTCAACATCTTCTTATCTGAATATTCCTTATAAACATGCTGGGAAGAAAAATAGCTAATTTAGTTATAAACTGTATTTTAAATTTTAGTTTTAAATTAGCTATATTTTAGACAACACAAGAAAATGTAATAGGACTATTATTACTTTCAAACAGCAGGGCTAGTTATGTAGATATGCAAACAATACCATTATGTTGAAAATCACCTCAGCTCTACTTCACTGTGCTGTACCAGAGGATCCATATAAAAGTAAAGGTACATAATTTAATCTTAATCTGCACTAGACCTACCACATGCAGTTACTTACAAGTTCAAACCATGGCTTAGCAAATTTAAATGTGATTTGATCCAATTCTGTATATTTAGGCAATGAAACTTTATTTTCTCTCTTCCCTTTTTGAGATGAACATTCAGAATGCCTAATAAACAATTCTGCTCAGTTTGAAGTTAAAATTCTAGTCTGAATATAACTATGTTTATTTAGACTTGAATGTGCAAAAAATAATTACTGTACAAGAACCTTGAATAAATAATTATTTTAGAAGATTATAAAGATTATCCCTGAGCTAATCAAAGACTCCAGTCGTTACTCTGTGGCTTCAGCTGGAATGAGTGCCAGAAATGCAAAGTTTAACTGTCATTATTATCCTCTCTATTTCAAAATGATTGCTGCCACTTTAATACGGCATAGAAACCAAATGGTGGCAGATAACAGAAGGCAGAGCAAGGCAGGTATGGCATAGCCAGAACAAAGAGAATTTTAGGAGACTGCTCCTAGAACATAAAAAAGCTGAGCCAGGAGTACATTAAAAAGGGGATAGAGAGAGATGTGGAGAGGCTCAGAAAAAAGCAAAGTAAACAAAAATCAATGTGGAAATAAAACTACTGGGAAGGGTTAAAATAAGATTATGAAGGGAAAAAGGTCTTTCAAGGATGAAAGCAGAGGGGGAAGAGAAATGTTTGTTTAAACATCATGCTACATCAAGTTAGCTATAGAGAAAAACTTTAAAACAAGAGTTATGTTGTTCTTTTCCCTCTGCCTCTGCTATTCTTATTCCCTACTCTTAACTATCATTAAAAGAATAATCCTTTGCTCATCTCCACTGATGATTATGCAGAAATGTACTTAATAAAAGCTCTGGGTTTTGCTTTTTCACTGGTATTTATTATAGCTTCTCCAGCTTCACATTTAATCATATTCAGTGAATTATGATGAAACTTAGTTCCAGGCAGAATGTTATTTGCCAAGAGAAAGAGAACCTTGTCCTTCACTATAATCCATCTGAATATTATATATAGCACAGTCTCAAAACCTTGCATTAGGAAGAGCAAAGTTAATATTAATATTGAAATATTGCAAATGATGGTAATATTTACAAAGCGTCTCAACCGTTACTACTATTATCAAGAAACTTAGATATGAAGACCAAATCAGCTTTGCAGAAAGTTTTAGACCTAAGTTTAGATCTAAGCCATGGAGAAACTGGAAGGTAAACAGGTATCAAATCCACAGTAAAAATGTATTTTAAAAAAATGTTAATAAAAGTTGGGGATCCCCCCCCTGTTCTATGACTAAAAGTGCTGGTCTACTACAGGTACTCACTCGAAAAATGTGCCCACCAGAACCTCTTCCGTCTGCAACACTCAAGGCAAGACTGCCTTGGCTGCCATGCAGATCCCTAGAGCTGCCATAGTGAAAGCTGCTTACAGCAGTAAAATTGGAATTAAAGGACCTTGACAGCATGTTCTGAATAAAGAGGGGACAGATTTAACAGAGATTAGTGTAGCATGCAAAATTCACAAGACTTGTTATTACACAGAAGTATTTACAGGCAAACTAGTACCACTCAGAAATATCATGCAAGACTAAACTGTCAGTGCCACTAAAAGAAATTGGCACTATTTATCATACAACTGGCATGACAACACATACACATAAATAACATGTAAATACAACCATTCACATGTTTGAACACCAAAGAGGGTAGAAATATGTAACTGCTTTTATAATACTATTACTTCCTTAAGTCCTACCACATTTTATTTGAACTTTGTCAGAAAACGTGTGTGTGTGGTTATATTTGGAATACATGCTAATTTCTCTATGAACTTTAGCAATAATCAGTTATTTTTTAGTCACAATGAAGTTCTAGAGTCTGTTTCATTTTATGTTATTAATATTATTAAATAAAATGGATAATTTAAACAGAAATATAACACAAAATATATTTGCAATAAATAAGAACCTGGTTTTTGGACACTGCATTTCCTAAAAAAGTTATCTTCTACATTTAAAAATACGTCTTTTAGAAAACCTCACATAATATACAGTTCCACCCACTGTGGATGGTTGTATTGGCTTTTCTATAGCCCTGGAAATAGATGACAAGGGTCCCAGCCATTATTTTCATTAGTTATTCTTAGTATTAGGAGTTATAATTTGGCAGCAAATATGAATCATCTCTACTTCTGTATTTATTAACAGATCTCAACTAGTTCTTTTTTCCCTTCCACCTCTCTTTGCCTGTAGGATGTATTGTATGCAGCTATATACTTTGTGTTAATATATTAAAAATCGATAAATCTGTTCTTTTTTACACTGTTGGATACTTATAATCAAAACTTTTACTCTTTAAATAATTCAATCATATTAGAAAGTATCGTAACAGAAAAAATCTCAAACTAGAAAATCCGTATGCAAAACTTTTCCCATTACAGTAAATATATGTTACAGGTTACTTTTAGTAGTGGTTGCTTTTACTGCTTAAATTTTAAGAACCACCAATAAAATCTTCTCAGAGTAAGTTTATATGAATCCTTAATCATTAATTCTGTCCATTCAATAAAAAAATGCAGTCTGATCTAATTTCCTCATTTATTCCTACAGAAATACCATCACAAACATTTCTGTGCTATTTTGGGGAGTTTGTACCTTCTCTAGATAATGACGTTGTTTTCTAATAACACCAATATTAAATATGGCATTCCAGAATGAAAAGAGCCTATAAAATTAGTGTGCACATTATTAATTTGCAGATTCTAAAAAGTCATAACTAAAGAAAAATCTAAATCTAATAGGCCAGCTGTATACTTTCCCAAACTTTGTTCACAAAAACAGGATTTGACAGGCGCAAACCAGAGGTTCTGTAAACATTTGATTATAACGTAAAAGTTAAAAAACTTACACATACACACACACATAAGTACACAGTCACGTGTAATAGATGGCATTTTATCATACTAAGATTGTTTTTAATTCTGTGAGGATCTATGAACACAGATGAGGTTTTTATAAATATTCACTGACTAACAAGTGTAGTTTTGAATTCAGGCTTGTGCACAGTAAGGTTGCCATCTTCTCACAATGTATCAATACATTGTGCAGAACCCAATTAATAGGTAGGCCCATGTCCCTGGCACTACTTATATGTTAATTACTGTAGAAACAAAGGAACACAGAAGTTAGTATGTAGTTGAGAGGGTAAGGAGTGCTTAATGTATTTTTTTTAAAGATTCATTTACTTATGCATATAAGAACTTGGGTACAGGCCAAGGTGCAGGGGATGAGAGCATTCACGAGAAACAAAGTGGGAAGTGGAACAGGCAGATCCACTGAAGTACACTGCTGGGGAGCAGTGGCCCAGATAGGAGAGGTCCGGAGCAGACAGGCTATGTCAGCTCCCTGGCTGGGGATCAAATTCATGCAATAATGGCTGGCTAGCTAGCACTGAGACTTAACCCCTGCACCATCAAGGAGGTCCCAAAGTATCAATTTTTGATTGGGTACTTTTCTCAAAGATACTGTGCTATATAGGCATTGTGAGACCCCATGGAAAACTTAAAATGCCAGCAGAAGTATGTCTGAGGAAAAGAGAAGATACAGAGTATCAAATAGAGATTTTCCACCATCCTCTACAATTTTGACCAACATGTCTTCAAGCTTAGTGTCTAAGTCATTAAAGCTGTTATTAGTAAAATAAGTAATTAGCGGTGTTTATGAAGCACTTTCAATATGCTTATGATGTCCATATATTCTGATTCTCACATCTAATAGAGCATTAATCCATACAAGATAGCAATTTTGATAAATAACATTTCCAAAAACTTCTAGAAGCATATTTGATGTTTTTAAAATGTTTCAAATATGTAAGAAAGCATCTATTTAAATAACAGTGGGCACTAAGAGAAATAAAATTAAAATACACATGGTCAATTTTTCAACTTACAGATTATACATCAGCATCAAAAATATTGAAAAAAAAATTTTAAGAGGATTTTTGACCTATTTATTCATATAAGCACTGAGATACAAACCCCACTGGTGATGCAATGGGTCAAAGCACAGAAGTAAGAAGCTATCTTCAGCCACAGCAGCACAAGTTTGATCCCCAGCCAGAGGGATGCCCCACATGGCATGACAGATCTCTCCTGTCCCACCTGCTGCTCCCCTCAACAGTGTATTTCAGTACATCTGCCAGTTTGGTTTCCCACTCTGCCTCTGGTGAATCCTCTTGCACCCTGCACCTCTGGCCTGTACCCCAGTTCTTACATGCATAAATAAATTAATCTTAAAAAAGAAAAAAAAAAAGAACTGGGATGTAGGTCAGAGGTGCAGCAGGATGAGAAGATTCACCAGAGGCAGAGAGGGGAGCAGAACAGACAGATCTAATGAAATGTACTGAAATATACAACAGGTTGAGACAGAAGAGGTCTGATTATGCCATGTGGGTCAGCTCCTGGCCAGAGATCTAACTCATACAATAGTAGCTGATAATAACCTGACAGACAGCACTGAGACTTTAACTCCTATGGTACCAGGGAGGCCCTTATTCAATTACTTTAAATGAATGAAATGATTCTCATTAAGAAGATGGTAGTACAATAACTGAGACAAATAAAAAGAAACATGTAACATTATTTGTGGGGATTACCTTCAAACTTGGAAGATTTTTAAAAATCACAAATGGTCAAAATTAACCTTTGAAATCCTTCAACATATACCCTAAATATAGGATTACTTATAGATGCCACATAGTCAAGTTTGAGACGCACTGATCTAAATTAAAGGAAAACAAAGCTAAAATTTATACATACAAATTTTGGGACATTCATACAACTCTGTCTTTAAAGTGTTAACCAGCAGCTAATGGCAGGGAAAAGGGGGAAAAGATATTTGAGAAGTCTTCAAGTGTGTACGTGTCATGGAATCCTATTTTTGGAAAACATACATACACAACAACATTAACAATATTACCTAAAATAATGTATTTTACGTTATCTCTTGAGAAACTTTGTTCTTACAATATCTACAGTTACTAGGAAAACCCACTCACTCTCATGATTTTCTACCTTAAATTTGCATTACTAATCCTAATTTCACATTGTGATCTCAGCCACTTGCACCACAGTCATCACATCAAATTCATTATGTACCAAACTAAGTTATTCTGCCAATTCTCCACTGTACCCTATTGCTTTAACTACTCTTTTCTACTATAGGTTTACTTTTGATTTAATGTTCATAATCACAATATATCCAACCAAATACATTGGCTTTTCTTGGATCCTCTCTCTTATCCAACTCCTAACACTAAATAATTTTCCTAAAATCCCTTTCATCAGTTTCCTCCTGAATACTTTTGCCAGATAGAAATTCTGACATGCCTTCTAACTATCAATCCTCTGTTCAGGTAACAAAAGTTACCTCAGTATTTATTGCACCAAAACAAAACTCCATTGCACAGCTTTTAAAATAGTTCCTTCTTTCCTCCACATAACATGTATAGTAACTTGAACAAATTACTTCTATGCCTAGTTTCTTGAATGTAACAAAATCTCTCGTACAACTTTTGTGAAAACTTGAGAAATGTTCATATAGTGAAAGTTCCTGGTACTTTCCAGCACTCAATACACTGAGCTATTATTATTACTACTTTCACTATCCATAAACTAGCCAAATTTTCTCAAAATAAACCCCAAATCCAACCAGGTTGAAGCTCTTATCTATTCTTATTCCCATCCCTCCTATTTTAATTTATCAAAATCTTGGGAGTAGTTCAACAAAAAGTCTTTTAAATAACCCCATCTTATCTAATTATACTTATATTTACCATTGGTGTTTAATCTTTCAAAATGAAAACACTCTAGATAAATGTAAAAAGTCCCCAAATCTCATCATTTAGGTGATCATCTAAATTTCATGATATAAACTAAAACTTTTTCCAAAATAAGAAAAAGTTTTTTTTTAAACAACAGATAACTCGTAATAAAGCCGTGACATTTTATTAGTATTTTTCCTGTCAGATAAGTAAAAGTATTATTCAATATAAAGTATGTGTTTAAAAAAAGAGGTTTCATAAGCTAAACAACATACACATAATACCTTCATTTTCTGAAAAGGGTTTTTTTTTCCATTTAATATAAGAAATTCTTTTGTAATTAGAAACTAGGAATTATTTCTTTAAGTTATATAATAAGTACTTCTGTAAGAGCTTTATATGTATTTTTTTTAAAGATTTATTTATTTATTCATACAGAAGTGGGGTACAGGCCAGAGATGTGGAGGGTGAGAGGATTCATCAGAGACAGAGTGAGAAGCAGAACAGGCAGATCGATGAAGTACACTGCTGAGGGGAGCAGCAGGCGGGTCAGGAGAGGTCTGCCGCGCCATGTGGTCACCTCTGGGGCAGGCAGGGATCAAACTCATGCGGAAGTGGCTTTAGCTTCTTAATGTTGTGCTTTAACCCGCTGCGCCACCAGGGAGGGCCTATATGTATTTTTTAAATTTTTAAAGCAATTCTAGAGTAGTTTCCTTATTGCTCCTATTTTATGGATGAATAACTTGAGGTAAGGGGAATCTAAGTTACCTGGCCAATAGTTAACTAAAAAGCAAAGCTAGGATTCTGAACAATTTAGATAGTCTGTCAAAATGCTGTAAGATAGTCACTAAAATTTACATTACTTAAAAAGAGGTAACATGTATGTATTTTCTGATAACTGTTTTCAAATGATTTCTCAAATATCTTTTGAATCCATTTTGTGCTAATACATGTTTCATGTAAAATTAGGTAAGCCAATCTCACATATGAATACTCAAGACATGGAAGAACTAACAGAAGAGTTTCTAAAAGATAGGAAGAATAATTTCCTTGAAGGAAAACAGCAGAGCTAAGGTAACAGAAGCATATACTTTGGTTTATTTGGAAATATTTCCCAACCAATAAGCTGAAAACACAGCACAGTACATTTGTTAGTCAGTCTACTACATGAGAATGGTTCATGCCCTCGCAAGTAAATCATGAGAAACAGCACTCTTCTGAATCTCCAATAATTATCTATACCTGGAAATTGGAGATGTCTGTCAGTGACAGTTTTGTGCTCAGATCTAGTTGGCTCTGTGTCCTCACACTATTTCTCTTAGTAAACTAATTTTCACCTCTATATTAACAGTGGGTACAAATGGGAAATCATATTGCACTCTCAAAGCAACTGTATGTCAAACTTCTAATTATAAAAAGTAGAGAGGCACAATGAACCACGAGGTGGCCACTACCTGATTCCCATTTATTATATCCACGGACATCTGTCAGATAGAAAGGAACAGAGAACAGCCATTTGAGATGTTAACTACAGAATATAATAACAAATTCATCTCCTTCCAATCTGCTATTCAGTACTAGTAATAGTGAATGGCATTCTCAATAACCAGTTGTTCAAGTACCAGTTTCTCCAGGTGAATCTCTAATAACTAATTAAAGGAATATTCCAATCAGAAGTAAACTTATAAAAAGTCTATTTCAGAACTGCCTTTTGAATTCCTTTCTCAGCCTTTTTAAAAATTTACTCATACATACAGAACTGGGGCACAGGTCAAATGTGTTGGCAGTTGAAGGGGACTGGGTCTATGAGAGAGTCAAAATGGAGAGCTTAACAGGAGGATTGACTGAAATATACTGCTAAGGGAAGCAGCGGATAAGACAGAAGTCTGTTGCTCCATGTGGGTTACCTCCCTGGATGGTGATCAAAATATTGCTGCAGTGGCTGCAGAGAGCTTCATAGTGCTGCACTTTAACCCCTTGCACCAGCAGGGGTTTCTTAGTCTTAATTCCACTAATCCATTTTTTGTTTTGTATGTTTTCTGGACCACTAGATAGCTTCCTAACTCAACTTAATTATAGCCTTTTCCTTCTCAAACCCAGCTCCACATCATCACTTGAGTTTATAAAGCAGTTAACTTACTCTTTGATTTAAAAATTTCCAAATTTTTCAGAAAAAGTACAGAAGCTTAAACAGTCTGACAGTATGTAGATTTAAGGCTGAACAAAATGCACATATAAGAATGATTTTGTCTAATGGCCATAGATGCTCAATTTAAAGAGAAAAGCATAGAATGAAACAACAGGCAAATATGATACTAATCATATTTGAAGAATTTCTAAAAAAACTTGATAACAATTTTTTTTTAAAATAATGACTAAGGTTGTATATACTTAGCTATTTAAAAAAAAAAACATGTATTTAAAAACAAGTAAGACTATTGGATAAAATCAACTAAGTGGCTGAACTAAACCATAAAGAAAGAATGCTTTATTCATCCAGACAACAAAACTGTGGCATTATCTAAGTTTTACAAAATAATTTTTAAGAATTTTAACTCCTTTAAAAAAAATCTACTCATAAAGTTATAAACTGATCATTAAGGCAAGTTTTATACCAACTATTTTCAAACTACATGAGAACCATACACACCTGAATTCAAATAGGTCAAAGTGAAGTTCAGATAAATCAAAAGCAAATGTCATGCCAGAAGCCATCTGTGTCAGTGACAATGTTAGTCATAACATGGACTAGGAAAAATACCTTATATGAAATGTGTACAGTACATTCCTTGTTATTCTGTTAACTACACAGCAAATTGCTACTTTCTTATATACATATAATCAACAATTACTAATAGACAAGAACAGAAAATACTAAACAGCGAAACTCATGTATAAAATACATGTATTACTTATGTAAGTGCAGCACAGTCTAAAAGAGATTCACACATAACCATATAATAGTGAATTTAAGTATATTAGAAAAATACCAGGGAGTAAGAGAAAGATAAAGAGCTTGTTTTACCATCTCAGTTGAGTTTAAGTCTTAGCTAAGTCTAACTTTAAGACTCTATTTTCAGTACCAAGGACAAACTCTTAGAATATAAGGTATTTTCAGTAATTCAGAGTATTTTGCTTTATTGCATAGAGAGTTAACAAAGAATACTGGGCCCTCCCTGGTGCCACAATGGTTTAGTTAAAGCACAGCACTATGAAGATAGCTGCAGTCTTTTTTCAGCAAGAGATAGATCCCTAACCAGGGAGGTGACTCACTTGGCATGGCAGACCTCTCCTAATCACCTGTTGCTCCCATCAGCAGGATACTTCATTAATCTGCCTGTTCTGCTCCCCATTCTGTCTGGTGAATCTTCTCACTGACCCTGCACCTCTGGCCTGTAACCCAATTCTGTATGCTATATAAATCTTTAAAAACAAAAACAAAGAACAGCAAATACTTTTAAGGCAAGTAAGTCCATAAACAGGAGAAAGAAAAGTTAATTACCTTTTCTAATTTTTTGGCCTCAATGTGTCGTAGTACTTGTTCTCGCCAATCATGAGGAACCTTACTTCTTCCTGGAGGATCTAATAAAGAATGCTCAGAACCAACCCTTGCGTTTGGTCTTTTTGATGGACTAGTCCTTGAATAATTGAAATCACTAACTGACATAGTTCTCTCTGGGATTTCACTAACAGAGGGTCGAGCACTTTGAGGCCGTGATGTATTTGGACCATCTATGCTGTATGTACGTGCAGAAAGAGGTCTCTGTGATCCTGACATCACTGGAGGAGTTCTTCCTACTGAATGCAACTCTCTGTATGATAAATAATCTCCGTCAGGAATTTGGGCCCGCCTAGAGGGACCTGGCTCAGCAAGATTTACAGAAGCTGTAGAGGACACACTACTTTGTCGCTGAATTGTAGTACGAGTTGCTCCTGGAACAAGTCGATCATTTGGTGAAATGGCCCACATTTCCCCATGTCGTCCTGGGCCAAGTCTCTGATGTAAATGGTATCCAGCATTAGCTCTAACATTGTTATGATTAGAAAAATTCATATTGGCAGAATGTTTAGTGTAACAGTGATTTTCTGTGCTTTCTGATCTAGGTAGGCGCTGAGGGGGGAAACTGACATGATCTGACTGGGGATTTTGTTTGGTGTGCCACAAAGTGTCCTTGACAGCCCCACTGCTACTATACTGGATATTATATTGTGGAGGACCATATATTTGAGGTGCAGATTGTGGGCCACTTACTATGGGACCTCTTGTTATGTTTGGATCTTCAGGATTATGATTTGAATCAAACTTGAAAATTGCTGTTGTACCTGACAGTAAATCAGAAGACGAAGAAGAACCAGTAAATACTTGCAATGGTTGATCATACAAAAGTGTAGCAGACTTGCTCCTGACTATATTTTTTCCATCAACAGTAGCTGTTACTTTAACTGTTGCAGTTGGTTGCTGAGGCCCATCATCACCAAGAATGTCATAGATTTTTAATCCTCCAGACTCCATATTAGTTATACTATGAGATTTCACAACAGATCCAACTGGCCCACTTCTGTGAGGGGAAAGATCTTCAGTGCTTTTGGAAATACTCAGATCAACAGAAGAATCAACGTCAAGTGGTTCAGTCCTCCTAGGAGACTGTGGTATTTCCACAGGATGTCCATTTACTTTATTTATGCATTCCAGATTAGAATATTTATTTCCATTTTCCAAATGTTGAGCTTCTCCTTTAGTATTAATGCTTAAAAAGCCTGTTCCAAGCATTACATCTTGTGTCTTTGACCTTTCCACTATCTCTGGTTGAAATGTATCATTAATTACAAGTTTATTAAGATTCATATTAATGTGGTCTAATTTGTGACAGTCACTAGATGAGGTTGTTGAATCAATTTCTTTCTCAATTAGAACTAATCGCTCTTCAATATTCAAATCATATTCAGGTAACTTAAAATCTTTTTTATCATGAGCCTTAATTTTTTCTTCTGTTGAATCATTTAAAGTATCTCCATTTTGTAAAAGGCTGTTAAAATTTTCATCTTCTTGCCTAAAAAAAAATATACCTTTGTCAAAAACATCATAAAGCCCAGTTTTCTGAATAGCAAGAAATCTTAGTAATTCATCAGTTAATGTGCAGTTATACAGTTAAATTAGTTGATGGAAATTACAGGTGAATAGCATTTGTTATCAAATATGTAATAAAAATTTCTATCCATCAAATAAATTAAGTGAAGACAAGACATACTAAATTTTTATATATTAATTTCCATCATTATCAATCTACTTTGCCTCTACATACTTAAAAGAGGGTTAAACACAGAAGAATAACAGACTCAATTCCTCTTCTACTTACTGCCATCTTTTCACAAATGTACCAAAACATAAAATGCTTGAAAAACATATGGAAAGAAGCCAATAACTTGAGTGAAGAACACAAATTCTTAAACATAATTTTGAAACTTTTTATAAATCACAGCAAAAAACATTAGCTTGGAGGTTCCTCAAACTGCTACACATGGAGCTTCCATATAACCCAGCAATTCCACTCTTAGGTATCTACCCAAAAGACACAAAAACGCTGATTCAAAAAGATACCTGCACCCCCCCACCCCATCTTTATTGCTGCTTTACTTACAATTGGAAAGACACGGAAACAGCCCAAATGCCCAAAAGTGGATAACTGGTAACTGGATTAAAAAGATGTGGTACATATACACAATAGAATATTACTCAGCAATCAAAAAAAATAAACACATGCCTTTTGCAGCAACATGGATGGAGCTGGAAAAGATCATGCTTAGTGAAATAAGCCAGAAAGAAAAGGAAAAAAACTGGATGGTTTCTCTCATAGCAGAAATATAAGGGACCAGGCAAGAAAATAATAGTAATAATGAACAGCTATATACCAGAGACATTTTATGGGGGTAGAATGGGGAATGGGATCAAATACAGTGGAGGGGAGGGAAATGCACTGGACTATGGTGATGGCACATGGGTGATATGGTGATGGGAAGCCCAAAGGGATTACAACTGAGATGGAAAAATGCACAACATGATGTAAAAATAAACTATTATATTATTTCAAAAAAAATTAGCTAAGGAGTTAATATTAAATTGAAACATAAAGCTAAGGAATTGTAGACAACAAAGAACTAAACAAATACGTAAAATTCTAAAATAAATATAAAGATCAAAAGAAGACACTAACTCAATTTGGCAAGTATTTAGAAATGTGTAATTTCAAAATAATAAAAAATATTTCTTCTTGGTGTTATGAAAATACTATCACTTTGTTGTAAAGATACTCATTTTGTTTCAACAAATAGTCCTTAACTTTGACCGGTCCATTAATTAAAGATATTTAATCTTACTGAATACTGTCAGTACCAAGTTTGTTACTTTCATAACAAATTTCTTGAGAGCTCACATGCTTTTAAAAAAATTTATATACATCTATTTTTTACATCATTCTTCATTTGAGCTCACATTTTAAACTTCGATTAAATTCCAGTGTGTAGATTGTTTTGTTTCAAAGAATTGAGCCTTTTCATCTAAACCAAAGATAAAACACTAAGCTTAAGTACTCAGATGAGACCTGTAATATAATCTAAAAATGTTTCTTCATTTCTAACTCTAAAAATACCCCCTTTCAACTTGAATTACTACAAATAGGCTATTTGTCTGGTGTATCTTTAGTCATATTATGAGACTGTGGAATCTTTTAAAGAAGGGAATCAGAATGTACTTTATGTCATTTCTTCCACACTTAAAAGATTAATTTAAAATGGAAATATGTAAAAGTTAAATTACAGGTAATAAAATGGGGAAGAAATCTTTTACTAACTGAACCACTTCTACAATGTTTGAAATGAAATCTTTTCTTAGTTTTGGTGATATACTTGTCATACTGTCTGTTTGTTGTATAAATAAATATATTTGTTAATTTGTTCACAAACCTGATTTTGGAATTAATGCCAATATGAGTTTGTTTCACTGGAGAGCAGAGTGAGGTATCTTGACTACTATCAGTATTAAGAGAAACTGAATCAGACATCCGAGATGGAGAAGAACAGTTGCTGTTATTCTGATTGCTATTGTGTGTAACTTCATCTGATAAAGAATCAGTATCCTTTGTATCTGAAACAAAAAGATTTTACTCACTGATAAATTCAGCAAGGATTTGTTTAAGTACTTTCCAATAATGACATATATGTTGCACTGGATCAATATATATAAAGTAAATGGGTTAATAGATAGCCAAAGTACCCCCTGAAAATTTTGTTAAAATACAAAGACTATAAGATTTTAAAATACAGATATTAGTTTTTTAAGTTGTAACCAATATTAGGGTTACCCAGAATTTGATTTCATTTTTAATTACTGACAGGGTAATATTCCAGTGTTTACTAAGTACATCAATTAGTTTTAATACATAAGCTTTTCCATTAATTTACAAATTAAAAAACTCATACTTAAAAAAAATATTAGTAGCGTTTATTACCTAGTTAAGACTATCTGGTGAAATTACATCCAGTGTAATTGTTCTAACCTATTTTCAGTAATGCTGTTAGCCATTCAACAAACATTAAGCAAAGGAATATTTTCTTCAAGTTTGCTAAATCATTTCAAGAAGTGTATATGAATAGCAAACTCTCAATATGTGAGACAGAAATGCTATCAACATAGACAATATTCATTATATATTTTATACATACATACACACACATTTCATTATGAGCAGGTGGTAGAAATATTATTTTTGAAAGGAGTGATAATAGTCTATAACTTAGTATCTTTACAAACCTGAAGACTGTTTTTAACTAATTCTAGCTAAATGATAGAAATGGTGTATACAAAACAGACATTAAGGGATTTATGAATTGATGATATTTTTCTGTTTTAAAAATCTCAGAAGCACAGTTCACAGAGTGGATGGCATTTACAGTTGAAAATAGTAGCACATGGAGCTTTAACTTCAAGACACTCAGGTCTTGGATTTTAAATTTTTAAAAAACTATTAAACTCAATTGCACTTCAGTTCTTTCCTTTATCTACATTCCTATTCTACCTTCTTATCATGGGATAATTGTTGACAGTATACTGGGTAACAATAACATGTAAAATATTTCACACAGAAAGCACTGAACATGTATTACTATCATTTATAATGACGTAACCCAGGCTTTCCAAGGATTGTACTAAGGATACTATGGTAAAGATATTATGATGCTTCATTACTGCATAAAGGCAAAGGCTGGATAAACGTTTGGTGGAGATAATAGAGAGATAATCAGGCAATGGTGGGGAAGATAAAAGAATGTGAAGACACTTCAAGTTTCACTTCTAAGACTGATATTTTACATTAAGTGTAAAGAATAGCTACCATAAGAGTGGGGTTAAACAAAAGTTCTCAGAAAGATAGTGGAGTAACAAACATCTATTATAACTCAGATGCTCTATTAGAAGTGAGCACTATGAAAAATTTAGTTCATTTGATAATCACAAAATCCTTCAGCAGCCTCACTGTATGTGAAATTAAAACATGTGCATATGAATAAAATTATCCAGTTCAAGGATCACATAAATAATTGGTGAAAATGGAAATAACATCAGCCTGTCTGCCTAAAGTGTATGTCTTCATAAGTAAATATGCACGACGGAAAAGATTTTCTCTGAAAACCAGAACAATAAGTAACAGAACTTTAGAAAGGCATGCTTTAAAAATTGTTTCTAGAAAGCTGTTTTAAAGGACACAATGATATTTAATGAAATTTACTCCACAAAAAATTAATGATTTTTAAACAGCCCATTTTTAATCTTTAGTGCTTTTCTGCAATATCTAACCTTTTTTATTATTACTAAGTGCTACCACTTTTGGCTGGTTAATTGAGGTTCCAATTAGTGGTGGTCGCATTTCTGCCATTTTCATTTCTTCATCAGAAGAAAGTTCTTCAGATTCCTAATTTAAAGAAAAAAAGATATAGAATAATACATTTTGGCTTCCTTAAGTGAATACATTTAGAAAAGAACATTTAGAACATGTATGACACTATTTTACGGTAATAATGACAGCAACAAACATGATTTAAGTTTGTCAAGTTAAAAAAACAAAACTATGGTAAATAGCAACAATATATCAAAGTGCCTGTATGATAATTCTCTGCGGTAGGCCTTAATTCAAATGTTTTAATGATACCATGTGCCTGGTACTATGCCACAGAGATAAAACACAATCACTATCATATAAAAACTCAGTAGATAAGGGTGCTCCAGTCTTTCCCTAATACTCAGATTTATCTCCTTAAAGATCAGAGTTCCAAGGAACAGGGAGATCTGAGATGTTTTTCCCTTAGTATGAACTGACAGCAATTTATTTCTAATCTGAAAACAGAATTTTTTTATACTCCATGAATTTTTCTGTAATACTTGACAACTATCCAAGATTACTCATCATTGATGATGTCAAGCAAAAAGAAAACAATAAAAGACTTGATAGTCAACAAATACTACTGGAAAAATTTTAACTCTCTACACACCATTCATAAAACTGGATCTTCTGCAGGTTAAATTACTGCTAGTTAAAAATAAGCAATACAGGCCCTCCCTGGTGGCGCAGTGGATTAAAGCACAGCACTGAGAAGCTAAAGCTGCTTCCGCATGAGTTCGATCCCCGCCTGCCCCGGAGGTGACCACATGGTGTGGCAGACCTCTCCTGACCCGCCCGCTGCTCCCCTCAGCAGTGTACTTTGTCGATCTGCCTGTTCTGTTCCCCACTCTGTCTCTGGTGAACCCTCTCGCCTCCCCTGAGCCTCTGGCCTATACCCCAGTTCTGTATGTACAAATAAATAAATCTTAAAAAAAAAAAAAAAGCAATATAATGGAAATAAACAAAAGGTCTTTAAGTGGTGTTCTGTCAAAAGTACTAAGATGTTTAGGTACTCAGAGTACCACAATAAAGATGTGGTCTGGAGTCAGCAAACCTTTTCAAAAAAAGACTAGACAGGAAATATTTTAGGCTGTGCAGGTCACTGGCACAAAATTTATTGTGCATAAAAGTAGCCCCAGACAAGATGTAAACAGCCATGGATTTGTGTGCTAATAAAACTTAATTTCATCTAATTTTTCACTTGTCATGAAATAATAATCTTCTGATTTTTATCCAACCACTGAATAGTATAAAAGCTATTCTTAGCATGAAAGCCATAAAAATAAAGAAAAAAAGGATATTGGGTGTGGTTAGGGACATAGGACACAGCTTGTCAATTCCTGCACAAAACTGCTATAGTGAAGATTTAAAGATTACCAATTAATAGAGTAAGAAAATGATGTAAACTTATTTCAAGGTAACAGGTAGATGACATTTTGAGCAGGTGAAAGCATGGAAATGAAGGTATGACCAAGTCAAAAATATATATATAACTCAAAATAAGTGGCAGGAGAGAGAAAAAGAAGACTGGATTGCATGTGCAAGGTCATGCTGACTACGGACTCAAGTATGAGTTGGTCATTATTGGAAATTGCCAATCAGGAACTGGTTAATTGGGTTATCTTTTCAAATGTTAACTGGTATTAAGGATGCATGAAAGGAGAACACACTGGCAGAAAGGAATCTAGCCATCACCACAGTCCTAAAGAAACACAGGTTACATTTGTCCTTAGGCAATGGTGATGATAGATGGTAAAGAGAAAGTATCTGACAGAAATTTTGTAATTAACAAGACTTGTAATTTCATTTAAAGTACATTCAAAACTCACCAACTTTTTCTGTGGTAAATTCTACCTCCCTCATATTGAAATGGATGATGTACTGTGAAAATTTTAACTTTTCGGAATATAGACACTATTATAATCTCACAATATCACTATTTTGGAACACCAGTACTCTGTGATTGAACTTTCTGTAATGATGTAAATATTCAACTTGTATAGTTCAAAATAGTAACCACTAATTAGTCAGATGTGTTTGAAATGTGGCGTGCAGTCAAAGAAGCTAAATTTTAATATTCATTTAATTCAATTTAGTTACTTGTAGCTAATGGATTATCATAGCGGACAACAAACCCAAATATATCAGAAGCACTTCCCAGATCATTTTTAAAGTTACAACTTTACTATTTTACATTACCTCCAACACTATGAGGGGAACCACTCATAGTGGTTCCACTTTGTAAAATATCTGACAATTTCTGATATGTAAACACAGAATTGTCATAAAACCCAGCAGTTTTACTACTAGGTATATACTCAAGGGAAAAGAAAATATATATCCAAACAAAAAAACTAATAAACAAATATTTATAGTAGTGTTCTTCATTACAGTCAAAATGAAGAAATAACTCAAATATCAATTACAGATAATCACAATGACTATCACTCAGATATAAAAATGGATAAAAGTACTGACAGATGCTAAAATATCTTGACATTATGCAAAGTCAAAGAAACCAGTCACAAAAGACTACACACTGTAATGGTATTACATTTATATGAAATTCCAAGACTAACTGAATCTAAAATAGAGGCAAGACAAAGTAGATTTCTAGTTGCCTAGGGTTTAATTTGCTGGGAGGCTGTGGGGCAATGGTTAAAAAGCCATCTCTTTCTTTCTGTGTTAATGAAAATATCCTGAAAGTGACTATGGTGTAGGCTGCACAATTCTAGTTATATTTAAAGTCACTAAAGTGCACTTTCTTTAAACAGTTGATTTGTAAAGTGTTATACCTCAAAGGTATTTTTTTTTTAATATTTATTTATGCATAAGAGCTGGAGTACGGGCCAAAGATACAGGGGTGAGAGGATTCAACAGAGGCAGAGTGGAAAGTAGAACAGGCAGATTCTACTGAAATACACTGCTGAGGGAGCAGGTTTGTGCCACGTGGGTAAGCTTCCTGACTGGGGATTGAACTTATGCTACAATGGCTGGCTATGGATCGACAGTGCTGACTTTAACTTCTGTGCCACCAGGGAGGTCCAGTTACAAATAGTATTGACCCAGCAGAAGACACCAATCTAGAAAAAGTCCTGGACAATTTTAAGATAAAAAATATTCCACAAACAATACTGAGTGCTTAAAAATAAATCAAGTGAAGAACATCTATGGAAACTATTTCAATTTTAAGATACAAAAAAAAAAAGCAATTACTATAGTGAATTTTGCACAGTCCGAGTCACACAGCAAATACTTGAGTATAACTGTTATAAACTTTTTCAGCTTAGAATGGTATTATAGCAAATAGGCAATTTCTTAATAGTGAAACTATTAACATAGTTCCTGCTCTCAATATCAGGCTTTCCCTACCGTGGGTTATTTTCTCTCATTTTTGACTACATTGAGTAATGCTGTTATAAATAGGTAACCTGGGTGCAAAGAATTTATCTGCGTCTGCTGCCATGAAAGAGCTTCTGAAAGAGCAAGAAAACAGGAAGGGCCTCAGTGGCACCATATGCACAGAACTGATGGCTCTGCTGGCTCATGAAATGGCTTTTGGAAGCAAAACGACAACACACTCACTTGCTAAAGACAAAATGCTACCTTTAGATAGTAAGAAATATTTGATTCTTAGAAATGGTTATGACTAGTCCAGAGCAGCCATAAATTCATACCTCAAACACATCATCATGATTAACAATCTGTTTCAAATTTTCAGAGGCTTTCGTATTTGCAGACACTGGTAGATTTCCAGGACTAATAATCTCAGTTTCAGGTTCAATGGTCTTCTGTATGGAGTTTCCTATCATGTACTTTTCTCTTTCATCACCTTCATTTCTTACTGGAATAGTATTTTCTGAAGTCTAAGTAAATGAGGGGGAAGAAAAGAGAATTCACATTCCTTAAGCTTCAAAATTATTTTTGTATTAAAGTAAAAATGAAAAATTTTAAAGTAATTTATTGGATCTTCCTATTTTGTATAAATCAAGGAAACAAACATGGAAATATGTAGCATCTCAGATTAACAAAAATGGATTCAAGACTTGGAATATAGGATCTGCAACCATTAAAGACATAGTAGAAAACATAGATAAAACACCATGCTGGCTTCAGTGATGTATGTGTAGATATGTCTCCAACAGCAAAAGAAATAGGGGAATATAAACAAATGGGACTTTATCAAACTAAAAAGCTTTTGTACAGTAAAAAACCATCAGTACTAGGAAGCTACATGCAAAAAAATGAAACTAGATCACTGCCTCACTCCAGTCACAAAAATCAACTCAAAGTGGATTAAAGACCTAGACATAAGAACGGAAACCATAAAATACCTGGAAGCAAAGATGGGTCAAGCACTACACGACATACACTTCAGTGACATCTTTAAAGATAGAGCACCCAACGCCACAATAGTGAAGGCAAGGATAAATAGATGGGACTACATCAAGTTAAAGACCTTCTGTACAGCAAAAGAGACATTACAAAAAACAGACAGCCCACTACTTGGGAAAACATTTTCTCACACAAAAGTAGCGATAAAGGACTGATCACAAAAATATATGGAGAACTGACGAAACTCAACAAAAATAAAGCAAACAACCCCATCAAAAAATGGGCAGAAGAGCTAAAAAGACACTTCTCCAAAGAGGAAATGCAGATGGCCAACAGGCATATGAAAAAATGTTCAACATCACTCGTAATAAGGGAGATGCAAATTAAAACCACAATGAGATACCACCTCACCCCAGTGAGAATGGCACATCTTCAAACAACTAGCAACAACAAATGTTGGCGAGGATGTGGAGAAAAAGGAACTCTTCTGCACTGCTGGTGGGAATGCAAACTAGTACAACCACTATGGAAAACTGTTTGGAGGTTCCTCAAACTGCTAAACATGGAGCTTCCCTACGACCCAGCAATCCCACTCCTAGGTATCTACCCAAAAGACACAAAAACACTGATTGAAAAGAATACCTGCACCCCCATGTTTATTGCTGCTTTATTTACAATGGGAAAAACATGGAAGCAGCAGCCCAAATGCCCAAAAGTAGATGACTGGATTAGAAAGATGTGGTACATATATACAATGGAATATTACTTAGCAACCAAAAAAGAGAAACACATGTCTTTCGCAGCAACTTGGATGGAGCTGGAAAAGATCATGCTTAGTGAGATAAGCCAGAAAGAGAACAAAAATACCGATGGTTTCACTCATAGCAGGAGTATAATGGACCAGGCGAGAAAATAACAGGAATAATGAACAGCCATATACCAGAGACATTTTGCAGGGGCAGAGTGGGGAATGGGATCAAAAACGGGGGGTTGAGGAGGGAAGTGCACGGGATTATGGTGATGGCACATGGGTGACTTGGTGATGGGAAACCCGCGGGGATTACAATTGAAATGGGAAAAAAATGTACAAAATGATGTAAAAATAAACTGTTATAATAAAAAAAAATTTTTAAGTAAATACTCAGCTATAAAAAGGGAACTCTGTCTTTTGTGACAACATGGATGGGTTAGAAGGCTGAGCTATATAAGTCAGTGGAGAAACACAAATACCAGATGGTTTCACTCATGTATGAAATAGAGAAATGAAACAAAGGATCACAAAGAAACAAACCAATAATAAATCCTAGAAATCTTAACTACAGAACTGAAGTTACTAGAGGAAGAGGAGAAAATACCTGCACATCATTTATCTGACAAGGGGTTGGAGATCAAAGTGTAGAGGGGGAACAATGGAATATGACAGAGGTGCTTTGGTGTGTGCATGGTGTAGTAACATAGTTCTGAAGAGGTATGATTCTATACAGTTAGAGTATTGTAAACCAATGTTACCTCAAGTATTTGATTTTTTGTTTGTTTCAATTGTGAAGGAGATGGTTCTTTGATTTCCACTTCCTCTGACTGATTGATTGTGTATAGGAAGGCTACTGACTTTTGTGTGTTGACTTTATATTCTACTACCTAACTAAACTGGCTAACTGTTTTGATTAGTTTTGATTAGTTTCAATTCAAATGCCCAAAAACAGATGACTAGATTAAGATGCGGTACATATACACAACTGAATATTACTCAGCAATCAAAAAGATAAACTTATGCCTTTTGGAGCAACATGGATGGAGCTGTAAGAGATCATACTTAGTGAAAGATAAAGATAAAGCCAGAAATGTAAAGAAAAATACTGGATACTTTCACTGGATACTTGATCACTTAAGGGATCAAGGAGAGAAAAAAAAAAAAGCAAATGCAATAAAGTAAAAATGAAAAACAATGAACTATAAACCAGAGACATTTTATTTTATGGGGTGGACAGGGGAACAGGATCAAAACTGGGGTGGGAAGAGCACATGGGACTATGGTGAAGGCATATGGGTGATTTGATGGTGGTAAGTCCATAGGGATTACCACTGAGATTTAAAAAATGCACAAAAGGAAGAATGATGTTAAAGAAAAAAAGTATATTTAACAATTAAAAACAAACAAACAAACAAAAAAACCAAACCTATCCCATGTACAGTAAAAATGTTCACTTTGGAAATAGACTGTCCCTAGAGGTCCATGAACCACATTAAACATTACAATTTCGCTGACGCTACATTTGAGAAGTTACAGGCTGGTGTGGATAAGTAAGTCACTTAGCTCAGCATGCACAAACTCAGGACTGTCAGATTGTTTTCTGTTTAATGTGGGATTATATATAGTAACTCCAGTGACATAGTAAAACTTATTTCTGTGATACAAGCACATAATTTGGGACATGTATCTCTGAAATATTCCAAGTAAATACCAATGGTCTGTCACAGCAAGTATATTCAGAATCAGAAACGGGTAGAGTGGATCAATATTACTAGGGGAGAAAAAATATTTCCATGATGCATTTTCTGACATTCGTTATTTATGTTCAGGCAAAGAAATTTTTAAGGTTATATGGACAATCCCTTGCTCACCTGGACTGTCTGTAGTCACAAAAGTAGTAAGAGCAAGTAGGGAATTCATTAACTGTTAAAACATTCGTTCAAGTGGTTGAGAACAAGACTCTAAATTAAGTAAAGTATTTCTGGAGTATACAAAAAGTCACTATATCAATTAGTCAAAAATTAAAAAAAAAAAAAAGAAAAGGGTTTTGTTCAATTTTTTTTAAACTCAGTTTTCTAACCTTTACATCCACATCATTATTCACAACTTGCTGATCTTCATGTGGTTTCAAATCTTTGCCAGAGTCATCATTAATTTCTTCATCTTTTAATCTATGCACAATAGTTTGAACAGTTTTCACCATATTCTTAAGCTCATCTGGGTATGGTGTTGGATACCTCTTTAAATTTCCCTCCTAGAAAAAAAAGTAAAAAAAAAAAATATTTCTAACAGCAATCTCAAACAAAATCTACTCAACAATCCACCTTAATAACATTAATATTTGGTTTAGAGGAGTAACTGTAAAGATATATGATAGGTTTCAGAAAGTGTCTTAGAATCCTAAAAAGTTTTCATTCAATAGGTAAAGACTTCATTCACAGTCATGACTTCAGAGTTTTAAAAGCAGCTTTAGCAAAATTAAATAAATTCCATTAGCTGTTGTCAAAGTTGTTACCTGGCTCTTGTGTTACCTTGTGTTTTTAGTTAGGTATTTTATTCAGATACATACAAAATTTTTCATATGTGTTACCTGGTTTGCTAGGAACCCAGCTCTTCCAAGGTCACCTAGCTGTTGTTTTAAAGAATTCAGCTAACTACCTTATAAAAAAGGAAAATCTGTAAGTAACTTGGAAATATGTGTTTGCTACTTCTATCATATTTTCAATATTATAAAAAACCAAAATGTTCATAAGAGTTCTTTATCCCTAGAATATATTAATAAATCATGAAAGAAAGGGAGAAAAACCTTTTTTCTGTTATATTTATTAAGAAATCTGACTTTTATCTGAAATTTTATATTGCTCTCAAGTTGTTTCATATGTGGTATGTACTGGGCAAAGAAAATAAAACTTGAGGGCAAAGAATAAAACCAATACTTCTTTATATCCCCAAAACAACAAAGGATAGGTATAAAGTACAGAAGAGATATCAGCCCTGTTTAAAACCTGACTGAAGAAAGGACAGTCTTACCCTGGGAGGTGCCTCTCTTTCATCTTTATCTTCATCACATTCAAATGCCACTTGAGCCCGCTGTTTCCTTTGTTCCTCCCACAGTGAAGGATTAAAACTTTCATTATCTGAAATGAACATAACTAGAAAAAAATAAGAACAAAAAAATTAACTTTTACTATAATTATGAAAAACTATCACTTGCTCACATTTCCTTTAGTAGTTATGTGTAAGTCAAATCTAGTGACAACAGCTATAAATTCTACATGAACAACTAGGCTCTGATTCTACCATTTTTTTTTTTAAAGATTTATTTATTCATACAGAACTGGGGCACAGGCCAGAGATGCGGAGGGTGAGAGGATTCACCAGAGACAGAGTGGGGAGCAGAACAGGCAGATCGACGAAGTACACTGCTGAGGGGAGCAGCGGGCGGGTCAGGAGAGGTCTGCCACGCCATGTGGTCACCTCCGGGGCAGGTGGGGATCGAACTCATGCGGAAGTGGCTTTGACTTCTTTAGTGCTGTGCTTTAACCCGCTGCGCCACCAGGGAGGGCCATGATTCTACCATTTTTTAAAAATATCAATCACATCTTTTCTCCCATAAGCTAATTTGTCTTTTGTTACTAAAAGGGTTGCTGGGGAGAATCTGCCAAATAACAGCACCATAAATATGTGACTTTGTGTAGTTCCTTACTGAAAGTACACAGTAGTATGTACTTTCATTTGAGTTACATTATTAACCTTCCTAAATTCCATAATATTCATTATGCCTTGGGAGGGAGGAGTTTAAAACGGGGAGAGTGAAATATATGGGTAAAAAGGATCACCCTGATGGCATATAATTACATCTTTGCAATAAGCATTATATACAGTATGACTTTGTGGAGTAAATAAAGTCCAAGATATTTTCTGTATCAAGATGTAAAGAAAATGAAAAAAATTTAAGATTAAACTGACACTTATATATACTGCTATCTGATATACTATTAACAATGGTTGCAGTTTCTTATATAAAAGGCAGCTAAAGTAAAATCAATCCATGTAACTATTACATATCACCCAATGAAACTTTGTACAATATAAAACAAAATCACAACTTGTTTTCTGCCCATTAAAAGAAAATGACTACACCTACTCAAAACGTTAAAAAAGGGATTTTTTACTTTGAGAACCTAAAGTTAATAGAAAAACTGAAACCCCTAAAAATGAAGTAAATATGAATGTTTATGCAAAAAATGCAATTTTCATTTGATTTAGGCTTTAGTTTAGGTTTCTTACCCTTCATCAATTTCATATTTAAACTAAGAATGCAACAAAATCAAAGACTAAGCTTTTTCTGTTTTCATTACTTGAAGATTTTTTTTGTTTTGTGTAGCTGGCACACTTTTTTTGTTTGTTTTAAGATCTATTTATTTATGCATACAGAACTGGGTGCAGACCAGAGGTATGGGGGTGAGAGGATTCACCAGAGGCAGAGTGGGGAACAGAACAGACAGATCACTGAAATACACTACTGAGGGGAGCAGCAGGTGGGACAGAAAAGGTCTGCCACCCCTACTGGCATACTTTTGTGGTATAATAAGGAAGTCAAACAGAGCCAGTTTTCAAACAAAATCTGTTTCCAGTTTTCAGAAGATTTTCCTCTGTTTTAGGCAGTAATTTCAATCAGTAGTCTAATTTAGATATATATCTCAGTTTTAGGTTATGACAAATCAATTTTACAGCAGTGTTGTATCATTAAGTCTAAGGTAAATAGGTTTTACTATGCCTCCCATTCTTAAAAATCTGTGGTCACTATACTGTTAATAAAAATTGTATATCTTTTGAAAATCAGGAAACAGCATTTTCAAAATCACTAGATCTGATCACCCTGTCAATTCATAGTACTCTAGTACAATACAGTCCTTTTTACCTATGACCAGCAAATACCCTTAATGATGACAATGTGTGATGACCCCACTTCAGCATTAAGATCTGTTTCTGGTTGCCCTGAATTTGGTTGCACTTTACCTAAGTCATTCACTGTCATTGTCCTATTCTAAACCTTAACGTCTAGAAACTTGTCCCTCCCCTCTCTTTGACCACTACAGTTTCCTTCTAAATCATTCATTTCTTATTACTGCTGATAAACTTTGAGTTCTTCACGCTTATATTTCTTCCACTAAAACCACTCCTGGTTTTACGTCCTTCAATTTGGTTTAGATTATATTAATTACCTTCACCTTTCCTGACACTTTTAAGTCAGACCTATTCTACAAAGCCTATTAATGTGGTACTCTTATCACCTGCCTTTTTTGTACTTGACTGCTGAATTCTACCAGAGAAAAATGACATATCCTTTTTGTTTAGAACCACCACAAACATACAGCATTCCCTCATCCTTGCTACATCTTCAATGATGCCTAGGAATCCAATTTATTCCTAGTCAGTTTTTGCTCCAACACCCAATCACTACCATACTTTCCTCCTAATGCCCCTTTTTCTTCAACCTCTACAGGCAATTTTGACTATGACTTCACTGAGGTAAGAAATGCAATAAAAACTTTGACTGATACTCCCTCTAAACATCCTCGTTTCTCCTAGCTACAAACTGTGTTTTGTGGATGCATACTTCAGCTTTTCTCCCTGTTTGACTGACTGTTCTAGATAGCTCTAAGATATATATTTCCATCTCTTTCAAATGTACCTACCATTACCCCTCTTTAAACTATGAACTTCGTTCAAGCAAGGATTTTTTTCCTTTTAAATATTTCACCATAACATAATGCATGGCACACTGCTGGTCAATAAAAAAAAAAAATGGGTAAATTAAAAACAAACTGTCTACTTTTAAAGTGTTATAAGACGGCAACCCAAGAACACTTTCTGGTTTATCTTTTACATTGACATTATGATACAAGCAAAATTTTTCTTGCAGCTGAAAAGAAATTCACCCACGTAAACATACCAATATAACTTAAGACTTGGTATTGTTATTGCAGTGTCCATCCTAAAAACACCCATGGTGAAACACTTTAAGAAGCACACAACCTCTAAGAGGACTCAGAATTTTATAAATGCATTTTGGGCTTTTCCACTGAAGACTCTTCTACTCTATATTAAACACACCTACAGGTTAAAAATTGAAAGTGGTTTTTGTCGTTTCTACTTTTCAGATCAGAATCTATGATCTCTTACAGGAAGAAACAGTAAGGGAATAGGGAATTAATTGCAAACACAGAAAAGAGGAGGCCAGATAAATTTGAATGATGAAAACAAAAACCAGAGATCAAAGCGTAAGTATACCCATGATCAGAATTGTTTAGAGCAGGGGAGGGGCCAAGCAAGTCTTTTCTGTAAATAACCAAAAAATAGATATTTCACCCTTTGGAAGGTCAGAAATAAAACTGGGGATAATGCATATACACTTAAATAAGGATAGGTATCCAACTTTCACAAGATTTTGGACACTTTTAAAATATATTAATAACTGAGTGCCATTCTTACAACACAGTACTAAAAACAAGACTGAAATTCTTTTGTTATTGTTGGAATAACATTTGGCTTAGGTGGGACTCAACATTAGTGTCTATTATCAAACTAATGCAAATTTTCATCTGTAAAAACTTTTTTTTAGCTCATATAAAAACAAACAGCAAGCCAGATTTGGGCCATGGACTAAACAATAGGTTTTCTCATAAACTTTATATAAAAATAGGCATACAATAATTTCAATAAAGGGATTAGATACTGGGACCTCCCTGGTGGCACAATTGGGTTAAAGCAAGCATTAAGAAGCTATTGCAGCCACTACCGCACAAGTTTGACCCCTGGCCAAGGAAGTGACCCACATGGTGCGGCAGACTTCTGCTCTACATGCTGCTCCTCTACAGTGTATTTCAATCAGTCCTCCTGTTCTGCTCCCCACTCTGTCTCTGGTGGATCCTCTCACGCCCCATACCTCTGGCCTGCACCCCAGTTCTGTATGCATAAATAAAAGCCAAAAATCTTTTTAAAAAAAAAAAGATACTAAGTAAAAAGTATAAAACACAAAGTTGGTTCTTTCCCTGAGGTTTCTATCAAAAGGCTTATTCATAGCTCAAAATCAGTGATATAGTCAGCAGGAAAAACCAGGCCTGAGTTAATACCATCCAAATAATTTCTGTGGTCCAATGAATGAAATGAGCATCAAGATGCCAGAACCTTAGTCTAGTAAGCCTGGGCATTCATAAAAGCATGAGGCAGATTACACCCTAAGAACAGTTTCACAGTGGGTGTAGTTCATCCCTCTTATCCCCATTAAGGATCAAGATAATGCAGAAATCTTAATGCATAAGGCTGTTGAGAGGATTAATAACTGTATACAGAGTATTAGGTAAACAAACACTTCTGTCTCTCCAAATACTTGAACTGTATTTCCCAACAGGTGCAAGACTAGTGGAAGAGGCTCACTGTTCAGTGTTCAGAGCTTCTTGTCTCCCAGAATAGCTGGTGGTCACATGATATGTATAGGAACTTGGGAGTCTTATGCTTGGCCATCAGCCACAATGTGGATTGCCTCCTGACAGCATTTTTGTCTTCCTCCCAGATACCAGCTTCAGTTTGGTCACATCATCTACCCTTGGGAACAAGTAGTACCCATTGCATCTGTGTGTTCTTAATATGTTGGTGGCTATCCCCATCCAGAAGTATATGCATCTAGTTGATGGAAAGACTGCAAACTATTGTTTCTCGCTTCCACAAATTATGAGGAAGGGGATTCCACCCTGAAGCACTCTTAGCTGTTGTATAACTAAGCCTTTTGGGATACCAGGGTACAATCTGGCACAGGGTCCAGGGAGCACATGCATCCCAGAACCATCTACTTTTTGCAGCACTTGTGTAGAAGCACTTCTGGCAGAGACAACAGTGGTGCTTTCTAGGAAGAAAGCCCCAAAGTGCTGCTGGTAGAGGGAGTTTATCAGCTATGTCATGTCTTGATGCCACTACGCAGTTACCTCAAAGGCTATGACAACACTGTAAGCAGCATGCTGGCCCTGATCTAGGGGGTATCCCACTCCTGTCTACTTTTATTGGAAACACTTTTACTGGAAAAGGAAGTATTATGACAGAAGACGTTTACAGAATTGCTCCCTGGAAGATCCTTCAATAATCCCACAACTGTGCATTATCCAGTTCACACACAAACCTGACTAGTTTATTGTTTGAATCATGCTTAGTTATTTCAGTATGAGTAAACTTAAAGAAAAAGCATTCTGAGGTTTATATGGTGGTAACAAAAGCAGGTAGGCAAATCACTAAAAACACATTAGTAAAATAAAAGGTCAAATATTAAATATGTCCTTCGAGACTGGTTTCATCTCAAGGGATAAATTAATTTTGTTTTAAAGAAGCTTTTTTGCAATGCTATCTGTACTTAATTTCTTTACATTTTCCACTTTTTTTTTTGGTAAATATTCTATGGCAATCAAAACAACAAAATAAAAAATAGGCATTCAAATTTTGCTTTTTCTACCCTTTGAAAAAACAAAAACCTATTAAATCTGGCCTAAGATTGTTTTTAAATCTTTAAATGATTGAAAAAACAAAATTTAAATTTAACTGTTCATAAATAAAATTTTATTAGGGCTCATCCATGTTTACAACTATTGCCACAGTAAAATGGCAGCACTGAGTAGCTGCAACAGAACTTACAGTCTACAAAGCTCACAATATTTATTAAATGGGCTTTCACTAAAGTAAGTTGGTAATCAGTGATATAGGACATTAAGGTGTCTATATGAAAAATTCATTCCATCATTCCTTATGTTTTAAGCGTTAGCATTCTATCTACCCACATAAAAAACAACTATTTGAATATATTATGTAGCCAATTACAGTATTACTAGAGAATTTCAGTCTTGATATTTTCTTGTATCCAGAATTACCTTCAGAGATGAAGAAAAGCACATAACTGAGACTAAGTAACAGTGACAAATGCAAACAAACATTCAAACATGTACCTATGACCTAGTTGGGTACTAGTTGGGGCATTTATTAATTTTATTTATTATTTATTATTATTCATTTATTCATTTATTATAGTTGGGATATTTATTCTGAACTTAATTTCTAAAGCACTTATTTCTATAAATTAATGCTCCAACACTGATTATCTAAAATTAAATAAACTGCATTTTGTGTAGATATGTATTTCCAAATTACATTGCTGAAACTGGGGTGAATTTAAATACAAAGAGGAGAAATTTTGCTTCTAAACTTACTATCTAAACTTTAATTACAGTCCCCCCAATGAATCAAACTATTTTTCATGTTACATCTCATAAGACTTAACTTGCAATTCAGTTTAAAAGTTAAAAGATTCACTTTAGGGCCCTCCCTGGTGGCACAGCAGGTTAAAGCACAGCACTAAGAAGCTAAAGCCACTTCAGCATGAGCTCGATCCCTGCCCCAAAGGTGATCCACATGGCAGAGCAGACCTCTCCTCATCCACCCACTGCTCCCTTCAACAGTGTACTTTGTCAGTCGGCCTGTTCTGCTCCCCTCTCTGTCTCTGGTGAATCCTCTCACCACCCCTGCACCTCTGGCCTGTACCCGAGTTCTGTATGTATAAATAAATAAATCTTAAAAAAAGTTTCACTTTACCCAAATAAATCTCATCAAATAAAGCCATAAAATAAGAATGTATCAAAGAAAGTCAATTTCTTCTTGCAAAAAGCAAGCTATAATTAGTCTAGACAAGTAATGACTTTTGATTTATCACTAGTTATGAAACAGAAGCTAAGGGATTTTAGTTCTTAACCTATCATTTCAAACTGTGCTAAATCTGCTACACTGTAAGCATAATAGCCAATTTGATTTTATCAAATATAGAGCTCAGTAATTTATATCCAATGTTTCTCGTCTTTAAAAAACTCTGTAAATTCATACTATTTTGATTTTAAGGAAACAAATTTAAGAGTCTATTAAACTTTTCTAATTTTATGAATTAAGACTGATGATTACCTTAGATATTTTTCCAGTAGTGTTTTAAGGTATTAAAAGTTGAACTTACAAAAAAAGTTTTGGTCATAAAGTTCTTCACAGGTTTCAGAAAGATACCCATATAAAAATTAAGTATGACATATAATATACTTTCTCTGTTTTTTTTCAGAACAATATATAAGAGAATATATATTAGAATATAAATACTAGAGTATAAATATAAATATTTATATCAGAATATAAATATATATATATTTTTTCAGAACAATATATAACAAAAAAAAACTTGCTTTTTAGTCTAAAAAACTTTCATACTTCAATTGTCATAGAAAAATGTGTGGCCAATATACAAAGGGTATATCCCCCTTTTATGGAAAAATTCAACAACTTGTAAAACTGACTGCCAGAATTCAGTAACAGATTACATACCGTGTAGATACAAATATTGAGTCTAAAATAACAGACATGAGCAAAATACTTCCAACAGTCTTAATTATACAACACTTAACATGCATTTTTAGCATTTATCCAAATATAATTTAGAAGAGAGATCTAAGGGCCCTCCCTTAGTAAAAGTCTTTGATAATTAAAAAAACTCACTTTCATACTTTTGTTGTCATTTGTGAGTTTTGTTTTGTTTTGTTTTAAAGAAAAGAGATTCTAAAGTTCCTACCGTCCTCAGTCCGTGGCTGCTGAGGGAACATGTAGTTAGTAAGCACCGTTTTCTGGGTTTCTGAATCAGTCTCTTTTTGAAGAGGAATCAGGGGCTTGGACTAGGAAAAGAAAATATATGTTTACATTTCAATAATCCTAAAGTAAATATAAATCTAAAAATTTCTCTAAATAAGTACTCACCTTTTTTTCTAGAGAATATCAATATGCAGTATAAAAAATTAAATATACATCATAAAATATTAAACACTGATTTGAAACTTGATGAAATATAAGATATAATTTAGTTTTTAGTGAAACAGTGTATTACACGTTCCACTCTGATACTGCTTGAAGCTCTCCTAATCTAAATATAATCATAGCCCAGTAATTATTAAGTGACAATAAAAATATAAAATAAGCCCTTTTGTTTTATGTTATGTGGCTTCTCTCTAGTATTCCCATTTTGGAGATACTTTTGTAGACAGTTAGCTGGCTAATTCCATCCTATAAGCTTACTCGCAGTTATACATTTCTCCCATGTACCCGCACTTCTTTGTTCTGTTACAAGTAAAACACCCTAGTATATTAAACATTTTCACTAAGAACTTTCCTTGACCTCAATTAAGAGAACTAGTAGTCCAACTTCCTTCTCTAAAAACTGAAGTCTTCCCATATACAGGAGGTTTATTCTATCACTTCTCATAAACCTTAGCCAGAAGTACAGATTAGGGTTTAAAAGTGCTATACAATCATTATTCTTCTTTCCTAAATATAAACACCTGTTCTTTTGAGGAACACAAACTCTGCTTCTATCACTCTATCTCTTTCTTAATATCCATGGACCTCATATGAATAATCACTAGTCCTGACTCTTTGATGACAAATGTAAAATGCAGAAGTTGGTGTCATGTTATTAACTGAGTGACTAAACTAGAACAACTTCAAGTAGAAGGTGGAATATTCAATGTTAGGCTGGGTGACTCTGAGACATCTACGTGGCAATGTTAACTTAATAGTAAGTTATTTGAAAGTGCAGTTCGGGAAAGACAACTGGATTGGAGAGATAGGTTAGAAATAATAATAGTTAATTCGATCTTTTTTACAGAAAAATATAGAGAAATTAAAGTAGAACCTAGAAAACCAAGAGGGCACCAATATGTAGCTCCCGATTCCATGGATTCCACTATTTTTGCTAATCAACCACACCAACATTGCACTCACTAAAACTTTCTACTTCATCACCATTATTCATTTTTTGTCTCTTTTTGTATTTCACTACAACAGCTGTCCTGACAGTTACAAAGATCTCTTTGCTGCACTGCTGTACTTCTTGTGCACCTAGTTTGCAAAGCTGCAACCAGAATCATTGCTATTGTGTGCTTTCTCTATATCATACAGCTGAGAAAATTAGTACAACTGCAAATTTGTGGTGCCTCAACTTCATTTGGGCTCTCAATATTGCCTGATAAAATCTTCTAAAAAATTCAAGAACTGCTAAGCATTTGCAAACTATGACATTCTAACAGCTTTACCATGTATATTCTTAGACCTTTTTCTCACAAACTTCAGAACCAACATACTTTCAAGAAGAATTCCTGTTGGAACTTCTGCTTCTATCAGTATACCCACCAGTTATACAACTCCCTTTTACACCCTCAACATTTTTCTCTAGTCTAAAATTCTAATATTAAGAGTCTTCTTACTCTGCCCCTCATCACCAATTTCTTTATGCTCCATTGTTTCTGTACCATCCATTCTTCTATGACTCTGTTCTTTCACTTATTTATTACTTAAACTACTTCAATTTGACGTCAGACATTTATCTGTAAAATTACATTAATTATAGGACCTCCCTGGTGGCAGAAGGGGTTAAGTTTCAGCACTATGAAGCTATCAGCAGCTACTACAGCACTAGCTCCATTCCCAGCCAGGTAGGTGATCCACATGGCACAGCAGATCTCTACTGTCTTGCTCGATGTTCCCCCCGTCATTCCTCCTGTTCTGCTCCCCACTCTGTTTTTGGTTAATCCTCTCACCACCTCCCCACCATAACCACCAATGTGCCTCTGCCTAAAACCCCGGCCCTTCTATGTATAAATATTTTTTTAAAAATTACATAAGCTACAGTGAAGATAAGTTGGCAAGTTAAATATACTGCCAAATATACTGTTTTTCATATTTTATTTGAACTGACCTCCTTCAAAATCAGTTGCTTCATCCTTGACTTGAAACCACATTATACAGTTTTCCTATCTCTGGCCATCTATTAATCGATCAGCCACTTAATAACGTTGAGTATTCCTCAGGATTTATCCATTACTAACATTAAAGAAATAACTTTACGAATTCCTTTAAGGAAAAAAATTAAAAGCTCTGAAACTGCTACATAGAAAAAGTTGAACATACCATCTTATGCCACGATATTTTTAAATTGATAAATTTTACAAATAAGCAAATGGAATAAATCTAGTATAGCCCTAGAAACAAAAGAAAATTATGACTTCAGAAGCAATTTTGTCAGTGAAATATTCAAGAGCAACTTATTTTCATAACTCAATCAAATTTTTTCATATACCCTCTGTAGCAAAACAACTGTTTCATACTATAAGGCAGTTTCTCTAGCTAAACTGTGAGGAAAATAAAGTTCCCCGCCACTCCAATTTTTACTTTAATGTAATTAACAAATGGAGAACAAGGAGAGAAGAATGAACCACTGTAAAATGAAGAAATTTTATTAGTTTCACCAAAATGAGTCACCTGGCATAACTTGCTGGCACGGATTTATCTACAATAGTGCTATTATACTAAAAGCATGCTCAAAATCAACAGCTTTATTTCATTCATATAGTAAAAAATTGTCATTAAGTCACGACTCCTGCAAATGCTTTCTAAATCTAGCCATAAGATGTCAGATCAAGTTACAAATGTAAATATTCAATTAGAGTTGATAGTTCGCAGTTCCAGCTTTACACTTTCAATAGATGCCGTATTTGTATCATCCTTAATAACAGCAAAGGTATCATCATTTTAATATTTCCTTCCTAAACTTACCTAACAAATACTATAGAATAATCCAGAAGTGTGGCTCCAAGTCAACTTAAGGTTTTCAGAATACTAGTAAGAATCAGGTAGATAAAGACTCCACAGTAAAAAGTTTGATGAAAAGATTGTTCTGAGACATGTTTCTTTACTATAGTAATCCACAGGATTACTAACATTAATTCAAAAGAGAATGTAATTTACTACATTCTCAAATGAAATATGATTATGCAACATATGAACAGCAGATGAGACTAGTATAAGCCACTATTTGGGAAAATATAGCTTTTAAGACATTGTTACAAAGCAATAATTTACTTTAAAAGTCAGCAACTGAAACGGGGGGTGGAGGAGGGAAGTGCACGGGACTATGGTGATGGCACACGGGTGACTCGGTGATGGGAAACCCACGGGGATTACAATGGAGATTGAAAATAAAAGTACAAAATGATGTAAAAATAAACTATGGTATTTTTTTAAAAAGTCAGTAATTGTACATTATTTTGTTTACAAAATTTACCATTGAGAACTATCAGAAAATAGATAAAGAATAATAAACATGTTAAACATGAAGTAAAAATAAGGACAGTTTATTACCTATAAAGCATTAACATTCAAAGACCATAACACAAATGTAAATTTAGCTAGAACACTAAGCTATATTCATAGTCCTGACTTTCTTGACTTCCATGCACTTTAATACATTTAAATCAAGCTGTCATCATCCCATTTATTCCACTAATAATGTGCTTCTCAAGGTCAGTAATTAAGCCTATCTTTACAAAACCAGTGGTGTGTGAGCAACATCTGACACAGTTGAACCTTCTTCAAGGACTTTCAGGCGATTCTCTAGATAAAAACAATCTCCAGGTTGGCTATCCCTCTTTCTCTTTTTAGGGTCCCTTCTATCATTGAGCTTAATCTTTAGCCTTCTTTTTTATCCTCTCTCCCTACTAATATAATTCCACTAATATAATTCTACTAATATAATTCTCATATAATTCCATGATGTTATTAAATCTTTTTTATAATGCTGACTCCCAAAGCTTGTCTTCAGTAAATATCTGAGTAACAAGCTTAGCTATTGATAGAATATTCCTACTTTAACATGTCAAAAATCAAGCTATTAAGTTTACTTTTTTTCTCTGTTTTTCCCTTTTTTCCAGGAAACAGTAATCCCAATATTCTACTTCTTCAGTTAAAAAACCTTAACAGGAGAATTCTCCCTGGTGGTGCAATGGGTTAAAGCATGGCACTATGAAGCTCTCCGAAGCCACTGCAGCATGATGAGTTCGATCCCTGGCCAAAGAGTTGCCCCACACGGCGTGGCAGACCTCTTCTGACCTGCCAGTTGCTCCCCTCAGCAGTGTACTTTGTCAATCTACCTGTTCTGCTCCCCAGATACTACTCTGACTCCGGTAAATCCACTCACTGCCCCGCACCTCTGGCCTGTACACCAGTTCTGTAAAGCATAAATAAATAAATACCTAAAAAAATAAAAATTAAAAAAAAAACCTTAACAGTAATATCTATTTCTGTTTTTCTCTCAAGCTCCACAATCAATTCATTAGTAAGTTCTCTGGCAATAACTTCAAAATACACCATAAATCTGAATTCTTCTTGCCATTTTTTATTATTTATTCAAGCCCAGCAATTATCTCCTTCTGTAAAATTACTGTAACAATTCCCTGCTCCTCATATCCAGTATTCCATTCTCACCTTTAGTATCCACAATCTATTCCTCACAAATAGTGAGGAAGATCTTTTAAATATGTTTCATTGTGTCATTTTCTGGCTCATAATACTTCAACAGATGTCTGTCTGAGAGTAAAAGTAGTAACTATGATGGTCTATGCTGGGTCCATGTATTCTAGCTCCAACTTTCCTCTCTGATCTACTTTTCACAATTCTCTCCCTTGCTTATTATATCCCAGCTCTCTAAGGTTTTTACCTATTCCTCAAATACAATAATCATTACATAATTAGAGCCTTTATGCTTAGTATTTTTAAAATGCATTCCTTCTTCCTACTCACATCCCCAGTCTATGCATGGCTCACTCTTAATTTCATTTGAGATTCCACTGCACTGCTTTCTTGAGAGATATTTCCTAAACCATCCTATTTTTAAAAAGGATGTTTTCTCCAACATACTATTATTTTTCTATGCCTATCAAATTGTTTTTCTTTGTCATATTTAAACATTACTACATATGTATGACTTTTCTGAATTTCATGAGAATATAAACTGAAGAAGAATGTAGGGTAACTTATTTTTTGCTACAAATATATCAAACTCCCAGAACAGTTCATGGCCTATTGTAAACTTTCAATAAATGTGTGTCAACCAAAGAAAATCCAGGGAAAAATTATTTTCAAAAGTTTTCCTTTACATATAATACATTTTAAATGTGTAGATTACTGCTCATAAATGAACCTAATGTAACTAGAATACATAACTACAAAGTACAGTAAGAATTACACTAATTTTAAAAAGTAGAATGCCAACCTGATTATCTGAGAGCCACATAGCAGTCAATTGTTGAAGTTTTGTAAAACTAAAGGGTAAATTCTTTAATCTGTAGGAAAAGTAAAAACAAAACAAATGAGATTTATTAAAATACATGAACTTAATGGTTTTCTAAACAATGTTATATTACTACATATAAATAGTTAACTCCAGAGAGAATCCAAAAAAGGTCTTTTATATAGTACGTACGACAAAATATTATCTAATTTTCATTTTAGAACTATAAATTTTCAATTGAGTCAATTCTGCTGTGTGAAAATGGGTTATCTAAATCCCTCAAAATATTGTCTACATAGAAAACATTTTAGTTGTCCCTACTACAAAGATAACACATTAAATAAGGTCTCACAAATTTATTTGTACTTAGAAAGAATAAACTTTTTAAGGAAGGGTTCCCAGTGACAGCTTCTTATAAAAACTGCATTGTTCTACATTTTAAGTCTGCACCCAAGAAGACAATTTTAACATCATAATGAGTAAAAACAAAGTAATATCAATACTCACCAGAAGGCAAAGTTAGAATAGTATCCTACTGAAACAAAATGTCTAATGCTACCCAAGCCTATCTTTCTTTCAAAGCAATTTGTTGCTACTAACAGCAAACTATTAATTAAAGGGGCAGTGGTTTTCCTAAATAAAATTAAATATAACATGCTAATTAGTCAGAAAACTAGATTTAAAAGTGTATGCATCTAAGGTGTGATACTCTGCCTCTGAATCATAGTGTTATAACAAATGTTACCTCAAAAAAAAAAATGTAAACTATCTTATAAGCTATGTGAGTCACCAAGAATCCAATTCTTAATTCTGCAATTCAAGAATTGGGAATACCTGGTATATTACTTCATAAAGTTATTTGGAACACTTTGTAAGATAATATGAAAGCAAATGTAAAAATGCTCTGCAAATGTTCTTTTATCATTCATATCTTCACATCAGGAAAAGTTAGACAATCTGTTCTTTTTTTTTTTTTTTTTTTTAAAGATTTATTTATTTGTGCATACAGAACTGGGGTACAGGCCAGAGGCTCAGGGATGGTGAGAGGCTTCACCAGAGACACAGTGGGGAGCAGAACAGGCAGATCGATGAAGTACACTGCTGAGAGGAGCAGTGGGTGGGTCAGGAGAGGTCTGCCACACCATGTGGTCACCTCCAGGGCAGGCGGGGATCAAACTCACGCAGAAGCGACTTTAGATTCTCAGTGCTATGTTTTAACCCGCTGCACCACAAGGGAGGGCCTAGACAATCTGTTCTTAAGCACTGTTCCTACTGAGTGACCCCAGCCAGTTATTAGCTCTGTATCTTGGCTGTGCCATCTAAAATTATGAGAGTGCACACCTTATCATAGAAAATTTCCACCTAGAAAAATACTATCATTAGATTAAAACCACTCTGTTGACCAGCAAAATTATGGGAAAGATCTGACTTTTGGAATTAAAAAAAGTTACCATAAAAAGAGACTAGTGGTTGTATAGGTAAAGCTGACAAAAAATATACTGTGACAAATAACCATAGTATGATGATTAACACCAGGTAAAACTAGGTCATTCTTTCAGATGAAAACTCAATATTAAAAAAAAAACAAACATGTTTGGAGGCTCCTCAAACTGCTAAACATGGAGCTTCCCTATGACCCAGCAATCCCACTCCTAGGTATCTACCCAAAAGACACAAAAACACTGATTGAAAAAGATACTTGTACCCCCATGTTTATTGCTGCTTTATTTACAATTGGAAAAACATGGAAGCAGCCCAAATGCCCAAAAGTAGATGACTGGATTAGAAAGATGTGGTACATATATACAATGGAATATTACTCAGCAACCAAAAAAGAGAAACACATGTCTTTTGCAGCAACTTGGATGGAGCTGGAAAAGATCATGCTTAGTGAGATAAGCCAGAAAGAGAAAGAAAAATACCGGATGGTTTCACTCATAGCAGGAGTATAATGGACCAGGCGAGAAAATAACAAAAATAATGAACAACCATAGACCAGAGACATTCTGTGGGGGTGGAGTGGGGAATGGGATCAAAAACGGGGGGGGAGAGGGGGGGAGGGAAATGCACGGGACTATGGTGATGGCACAGGGGTGATTTGGTGATGGGAAACCCGTGGGGATTACAATAGAGATGAAAAAAAAATGTGCAAAATGATGTAAAAATAAACTTTTTAATAAAAAAAAAAAAAATCAAAAAAAAAACAAAACATGTAATGGCCTGAGTTTGATCCCTGCCCCAGGAGATAATCCACATGATGCAGCAGACCTCTCCTGTCTCGAACACTGTTCCCCTTAGCAATGTATGTCAATAATGCAATGTATGTCAATATTCTCCCCACTCTGTCTCTGGTGAATCCTTTTACTCCCTGCACCCCGGCCTACACTCCAGCTCTTCTACACAAAAGCAAACAAAAAACAATGAATATGCATTAGATTTCCTATATCACGTATAATGAAACTTTAATTTCATCCAAACAGTGGCTTCTATAGATCAATGGATGAACATATTACTACAAACCTATTGTCACTTAAATTAATGACTTTTAATTTCTGCATGTCCCCCATTTCCTCTGGAAGTGTCTCAAGTTTATTAGAATGAAGAAACAGCACAGTTATATTTTTCCAGTTTCCAATCTGAAAGAGAAACAAATTTAGCGATCAAAATTTTGTACTATTTCTTGATGTAAGTATAATATCATTTTCAAAAATATTATGAAAAATATTCTTCTGACTTACAGAAGGAATTACCCTATTTTCCATATTCAATTATATTCTTCATAAAAAAGGACAGTATTCAGACATCTCTTGTAAATCAACATACTTACTCAGAAAACAATTAGTTGCCTAGTTATTTCTGAGTGAAAATAAAACCACATGCAATAGCTATAACAAGTAATTAGGAAAAAATAAAATAGACATTGTAAAACACAGTACCTCTGGTGGTAACTGTTGTAAGTAATTATGATCTGCAGCAAAAGTTCTTATATTAGTAAGCTGACCAATAGATGAAGGCAAAGCTTCAACTTCATTGAAGCTACAATCCAGCTCTTCTATTGATACTAACCTTTAATTAAAAAAAAAAAAAAGAAATCATATATAGAATCCAAAACTTAGGAACACAAGAACATTTGAATTTGACTTTAACAAACCTACTAAAATTCTCTTTCCATTAAGCTAAATTTCACTAACAAAATTAGGCTTACTTTTATTGTAAATATACTCAGCCTACAACCAATTGCTTACTTAAGTGTTTATGGAATTGTCTTCATGCAACTGATAACATACATGGTCTGAAAATATACATGGTCTGTTGAACTAAAAGTAGAATCTTCTAGTTCTTTTAATTCATAAAAACCTTACCCTCCTATGGAGTCTGGAAGATACATTAATTGATTTTCATCTATTTTAAGAGTTGTTACATTCTTCAAAGAACCTATTGAGGAAACAAATCATATACATTTTTCAGCAAGAACTAAGAAGTCAATTAACAGTGAATTTAAACATACATTAATCTGACATGCACCATAAACAACTTTCTCAATCAACTTTTGCAAAAGAAACACAATTTCAAACCCATCATTCTCTATTTCCCTTATCCCTATACTTTTAATTTCACCTACACATCACATTTAGCTATTTAATCTCCACTAAAATATGAGTATTTTAAGTGTAGACTTTTTGTCTACTTTGCTCACTGTTGTGGCACTTAAAACAATGGCATGGAACAGGGAAGACACACATTAATATTTAATGCATTAAGAAATGGGTAGTATGAAGGTAATTTTCATAGGTACATAAAAATTATTCTACTCACTACATCTACTAAATACTAAAACAATAAAATGGAATTTAGTTTAAAATTATAAGTGCTGAATAAATTTTAGCACAATTTGCAAAGTGTAACTGAGTTACAACAACTATGTAATTCAACTGAAAACTATGTATTTTGGTATTAATATTTAAGTATCTTGCCACAGAGATGCTAAAATTTAGGTTTGTGGGTTTTTAATCAAAATAATTCTATTTCCTTGATGCAGCATCACATAAGCCAACTATGCAAATATAGACTCAGTAACAACTGTCGCGTTCTTTCTTATAGGACTTGTTCAAATGGTCTGAGAGTCCATTTGACATAAGACTGGAAAAAGTTACCAGATAAGGACTATAATCAAGCTAAGGCAAGTTAGGGTAAATTATCTTCCTTTTACAGAATTCAAATTTTATTACAGTTATAAAAATAAAATCTCTTGAGGATAAAGAAAAACATGGTAGTATCAACAAAGGAGTAAATTGTGTAATTAATCATATAAAGAAAAAATTGGAAGATCTGTGGTTGTGATCGTACAGTAAAACTATCTCAAAACAAATAAAATTTGATATATGGAAACAGTGAATAAAAGAAAGCAACACAGAAATTTAATCTGTCAAATTTTATAGTTAAGTAAAAATAAATTAAATATATTAAGAAGAGATACAAACCAATGGTCTCAGGAAGCTGTTGAAGTGAATTGCTTGATAACAGAAGATCCTGAAGGTTTTCACATGCTGAAATTCCTTCTTCTACCATTTCAATATTATTTTTAGAAACATCCAAATATGTGAGCTGTTTCAAACTACCAATAAACTATAGGACCCCCCCCCAAAAAAAAGAAATCTAATTACTAACTCAGCATTAAGAAATTTATAAAAAGTTTAGGTAACAAACTAAGTTGCAATTCATAATTAAACATTTAAATGAGAGAGATTCATGAGCTTTTAAAATGACAATAACATATTCAGTAACAGTGCTTCTACACTAAAAGCAGTTACTACAAATTTTTAGCCCAATGGACATAAACTTGAGACTATTTTACAAAATTTTATAGTGTGTATTTTTCTATTTTAAGCAAGAGTGTGTTGATAGTAATACAAAATCTAACTTAACTGTTTATCATCTGACAGTATTACCAATTAAGTAACCACCCACTATGTTTTTCTTTACTAATTGAAAATAATTTGAAAACCCACAGTTCAAAAGAACTATATAGAATAGACAGCACTAAGCAAAACCACTGAAAATTTTATATACATACCCCTGGAATAAAAGTCAGTCTATTACCATCCATCCAAAATTCTTTCAATCCACTTAACTGCTCAAGTACTTCAGGCTGTATAGACAAGAGAAAAAATTTTGTAGTTTATTTGAATATCTTCATTTATCAAAAAAAGCCCCTAGGAATTTCTAGTAACTTATAGTTAAAATATTAAGATGTGTGGGCCCTCCTTGGGGGCGCAGAGGGTTAAAGCACAGCACTAAGAAGCTAAAGCCACTTCCGCATGAGTTTGATTCCTGCCTGCCCTGGAGGAGATCCACACTGCGAGGCAGACCTCTCCTGACCCCGTCTACTGTTCCCCTCAGCAGTGTACTTTGTTGATCTGCCTGTTCTGCTCCCCTCTCTGTCTCTGGTGAATCCTCTCACCCTCCACATCTCTGGCCTGTACCCCAGTTCCATATGAATAAATAAATAAATATTTTTTTAGAAAAAAAATTAAGATGTGGTCAAGATTCAAGCCTTTCTATTCGATTATAGATCTTACAGTATTATAAAAGGAAACTCAAGTAGACCTCCCGTAAAATTACATAAAACTGGCCCCTCCCGGGTGGTGCAGCAAGGTAAAGCATAGCACTAAGAAGCTAAAGCCACTTTTGCAAGAGTTCGATCCCCGCCTGCCCTGAGCTGACCCACATGGCGTGGCAGATCTCTCCTGACCCGCTCGCTGCTTCCCTCAGCAGTATACTTTGCTGTCGTATCTGCCTGTTCTGCTCCCCACTCTGTCTCTGGTGAATCCTTTCACTGTCCCTGCACCTCTGGCCTGTACCCCAATTCTGTATGCATAAATAAATAAATCTTAAAAAAAGAAAAGATTACATAAAACTTATTTCAGTTTTTGGTAATAAACTCTTACACAATTAATGTAAGAAGTAGTTTGCAAGTGTACAATAAAGAATTATTTCCTGTATGAAGGAAGATTTAGTGTTTTTGGAAATCTTCAGGGGGAAAATCACAAAAATATTTCCTCGTGACTAATGGGAGAAATCAATGTGACATGCATGTTAAATATCCAATAATAAAGGAAAGGTAAGTAAGTCAAGGCATAATCACACAATAGAGCATATTCTATTACTTTAAACCCCTAGCAATTCAATGATGAATACTAATTATAATATGTGTTAAAGGCAAAAAAAATCAGCCAGAGTTGTAACTACCTTCAGTATTTAGACAAAATTTGATAACTGGGAATCTACCCTTAGCATTCTTCAAGGATATTTGTGTGATTGTACAAATTTTGTCCAGTCCACTATGGTGACACTGAGTTATCATCACATCTAATCACACTAACATTAATTCATCAAAAGCATGTCATTCAGATTTTCACAAACAAGAACTCTAGTTAAAACTTAGCTCAAAGCAATATCCTTGGTCCTTTACCTGCTGTAATTCTATTAGTGAATTTTTAAAAATATACGTTATACGACCAAATTAGTACAAAACTGGTGATTCTGAATGTTGTTCTGGTTCATAAAATTAGTTAAAACCTAGGAATTTTCAAGTAGTTAATACAGAAATGGCTAACACATATAAAATAAAAATTAAAAAGTACCATAGCTAGAAAATTTGGGAAGGGGGAATTTTTGGGGGGAGTAGAATTTTGTTCTACTCCCTACTCTGTCTCTGGTAAAATTCTCTCACCCCCTGTACCTCTGGCCTGTACCCCAGTTCTATATGCATTAGTAAACCTTTAAAAAAAAAAAAACCAATCACATCATAAAACCATCATAAGCCATCTTCAACTAAAACATAATAAAGCATACAAAAGATTTATAAAAAGAGGTATGGCAGACCTCTCCTGACCTGCCCTCTGCTCCCCTCAGCAGTGCATTTCAGTACATCTGCCTATTCTGCTCTCCACTCTGTCTCTGGTGAAATCTCTCACCACTATCCCCCCCCAACCTCTGGCTGTACTCTAATTCTTGTATGCATAAATAAATAAATCTTAAAAAAAAATAAAAGATTTATTTTAAAAAGCATAATTTACCTACAAACACTAGCCCCTCCACTGACTTTCAGCTGAAAAGCTAAAAAGAGTGAGCAAATGTACAATATCTATTCGAATCCACTGGTCTGTATGTCTATTCTTATTCCAGTACCATGCAGTTTTGATTATTATGGCTTTGTAGTACAGCTTAAAGTTTGGGATTGTAATGCCTCCATTTTGATTTTTCTTAGACATGAGGGTTTTGGCTATTCGAGGTTTTTTGTTGTTCCATATGAATCTCATCAACAGCAAATGTACAATATCAAGACAGATTGCAGAGCTGAAAATTCCTGTTCTTGAGACAATCATCTGAAATCTACCACAATTAAAAAAAAAAAAAAAAACCTTGGACACTTGATGCAAAAAGTTCTTATAATGATAATACTCAGCTTTTTAAAAAAATCTAGTTCGTTTTCTGAGTTATTGTAACAGAATTGAATAAAGACAAAAAATTGCTTACATAGTCCTTTCCTTTTTGATTCAGCATCATAATACATTTTGCATACAAAGCAAAACACAATGTAGATGTCTCCTTACCAACTGAAAAATAATAGGTGTTTTGATTTTCTCAATGATTTTCTCTTTAACTATTAAGAAAAATTACAAATAAATACCTATCATTACATTCCTAAGCAATTTTGTCGTAGAAGTACTATTCCTGATACATTCTAGCCTGATAAAAGGTTTCTCCTCCTTATAACCACTCATGCTTTGTGCTCTTTATACCTTTTAGCTACTTCTATGACAGTTTCTCACTAATTTTACATTTTAGCCTTCATTTTTATTAAATGTATTTCTCTAGCTGATTAATTTCCCCCTCAAAAGTGTTTATATGTCTTTACACCTTATCTTATACTTTAAAAAAATTCAAAGAAATAAACATATAAATCTTCACATTTTGATCTTGATCACATACATGTAAAAGAGTTATGGGTAAGGAAACTGCTCAGAACTTACCACTTCTGTGAATTCATTACTTCCCAAATCCAGTCTTTCCAGCTGGGTCAGTCTATTCATAGTTCTATTCACAAGAGATTAATAAGAATTAAGAATATAAAAAAATCATTACATGGAAGCTCTCAAAATTAATAGTGTAAGTCATTCTTACGTAATATCTAATGATGTACAGGCACTCACATGTAGACAAAATACAAATAATGTTCTAGTAAAGTTAAAAAAAGTTATATTTAACTTCTAGTTAAAATGAAGTAAGTTATCAATTATTTTCTAATTTCATTTCTCATCAGGTTTTCACTTCTATTGTTAAGAAGTAATCAGAATATTTAAACCCAGAGGCCAAAATATTAATAACTGATTTTTTCCTCACAGGGGAAGTTTCATAAAGTACAAGTTAATTAATGAATTATGGCTGGTTGCTTCATAGTAATTACTATCATTTCTCAGGATCAATTATGTATATATGAAACTTGAAGGTAAATTAACTCTGAAAATATTAAAAATTCTAAGAACAATAAATACTGTTCCACACATTTTAAAGTTGAATTCAATACAATTCAATATAGTTTTATAAGAATCAGAAATATAATTACGAGTCATTTAAGTTAAAGCTGTAATATATTCCAAATTTTCAACTCATTATCAACATTTTCCTACAACTATACTACAAACTGATTTCACAATAAAATAAATTAAGATGTACTTATATTTCTTGTTTCATAAAGGCATTTCTTCAACTAAGCTATTGCTAGTAAGTTCATATGCACATTTATGCTTATAAACTGTTATGTTAACAAAAACCTATTATTTAATTACCCATTAAAAGGTCATACACGAAATCCTGCTAACATATGATAGCAAAATACAGTTACACTAGGAAAATTACAGCAATGTAAATTATTAGAAATTAACATCATAGAAAAATAGGAAACCCTAGAAATTATATGTGAACAGATTATTCTTATCTTTTCTGGAAATTTAACAAACTAAAAGTAGTAAGTAAAATAAAACTCAATAGGCCCTCTTTGGTGGAGCAGCGGATTAAACCACAGCACTGAGAAGCTAAAGCCACTTCCGCATGAGTTCGATTCCCGCATGCCCGGGAGGTGACACATGGTGTGGCAGACCTCTCCTGACCAGCCCGCTGCTCCCCTCAGCCGTGTACTTCGTCAATCTACCTGTTCTGCTCCCCACTCTGTCTCTGGTGAAGCCTCTTGCCGCCCCTGACCTCTGGCCTGTACCCCAGTTCTGTATGCACAAATAAATAAATCTTTAAAAAAAATAAATAAAATAAAACTCAATAGTTTCCTCTAGCTTTTGAATGAAAAATGGTAACACACTTCAGATTTGTAATATCACTAAGTTGTACTTTTCTAACATTAGAGGAAGCTAATTTTTCCTAGCGCCATTTAAAATATGCCATTCTGTCAACAAACTTAGTTTAATTTATCTTTCAACTCCAATTTTCCTTCAAGATAATTTTATTTAACTTATATTTACCGTGTATTCTCAGGTACTATAATTTTATTTCTCTTATACTTTGTTTAATAACAAAGCAAAAGGTGTTTGTAGGATCTTTTTCCAGAGATTAGATTCTATGGTATTAAACTCCTGTATGCAAACTATGTAAGGTAGACCCTTTGAGAAAAGTAGAGGGCTATGAGGAGGATAAAGGGATTCAACAAACCTACTTTTTTAAATTCAGTGTTTCATAAAGATATAACCCAAAAGCTTCAAATACAGCAATTTTTGTTTCAATGGGGTAAATTATAAAAACTGGCACAACAACAAAAAACAGTTCATTGGGAAACTTCAGTAACAAACAATATTCTCAGATATTGTTTAAACTAGGAAAACATGAATGACAAATATGTAATAAAAAAGCAGAAATAAATATAAAGTACTAAATGCTTCCATTTCAACTTGCTACAGCTAATACTCACCAAACCTTGGTCCTAATTATGTAACTTATAAATGTAAGATACCAAAATTCTTAATTTTCTTTCTTTTTGTGTGACTGTAGAACTGGGGTATAGGCCAGAAATGCAGGGGGAAAGGGGCAGGTTGTGGGTAAGAAAATTCACCAGAGACAGAGTGGGGAGCAGAACAGGCAGATTAACTGACTATACTGAGAAGAGGAGCAGCAGCCAAGAGAGGAGGTCACCCATGCCATAATGGGTTAGCATGTTAGCAATGAGACTTAACTCCAAAGCCATTAGGGAGGCCCAAATTCATCCTTTTCAAGCCTTTCCACTTAAGAACCAACTTCTTACTTCAAGGACAGGCAGAAACAGTATCCTTCAAATTTCCTCCTGTTTACCTCTAAAATTCCTCTGTATTAAATGTATTTTCATGTCGCAAAGAATACACATCACCCTTTGTGATCTTTGTACTGTGCTCTCCAGTACTAAAGCGGTACTAAATTTCTTAACATGGAAAACAGCTCTCCCTCAGCTCTAATCTTTTACTACTGAAAAAGTTTATTCAAATAATCTAAATGCACATGACTTTTATTAACATTTAAAACTATGGCCTCTTTATAGTTTATGAGGTCTCAAAGGTTTCAATCATGAGCCTTAGGGAAAACAGGAAATAATTCTATTTGTAAACACACACACAGATCCCAAATTGAAGTCAAATCAGGAATAAAAAGGAACTAACATGAGTGAGTTAATTATGATAACCGATGAACTGTATTAATTATAGGCTTAGCTATGTCAGTAAATAGTGTACACCTAGGTTATTCGAATCTCTTTGAAACCACACAAGCTTTGAGCTGGGGAGTCATCAATGCCAACAATACCAATTCTTCAAAATATTTAACTTTTTGACAATCGTAATTGTCACTGTCATTTATAATTATAATTGTCACTACAAACTCCAATCATTCCTATACCAAGCAAGTCCTCAGCTAACATACAATGTCTTTGGGAGATCAAAGCAAGGTGTGTTCTCTGCCCTTAAAAACATGGAGAACGGGCAGGATACAAGCACATGGCAAATGTGCATATGTTGGGCAGGTAAGAAGGAAGTGAAAAGTAGAGAAACAGATGCATGTACTAGAATATATGGCTAAATGTCCTAACAGGTATAATATATTGTTTAAAAAAAAAAAAAAAACAAACAACAAACTCCTGGAGAACTAGAGATGCTTCCCTCAAAAGGTCAGCAAAGTTTTCCTGCAAAGGGCCTGACAGTAAATATTTCATACCCTGGGAACTCTATCTGAGACTTGGGTGGGCTTTATACACTTATTTCTAGAGAATTATGAATTAAAAGAAAAAAAGCTCACAGATTTTATATTGAACATCAATAATTAAAATGAGCACAAATGCCAGTATATTAAAAATAATTTGTACTCATATTTTAGATATCTAAAAGTTAAAAATTTTCTATGAATTTCTATGAACTAAAAAAATTCTAAACTTGAAAGGACAGCATTTTTACTTACTTTGGCAACATTTTCAACTGGTTTTCTCTAAGTTCTAATATCTGGAGTTTAGTTAGTCTGTAAAATAAAGGAAAAGTGAAACAAGTTATAATAATAAAGTAATGCTATATTCATGCTTTAAAACAACCAATATTTGCTATATGATTATGATATGCATAATACTGTATTAAAAATTACATGGAAATACAAAGGACATAGGACAATCTGATCCTGAGATTAGGATTAGTGGGAGGGAAAAAGTAAATATTTTTAGACACTTTCAAAGCACAGAATGACTGATCCTTAAAAATCAATTCTAGAGGATTTCCTGTCTTTTTCTGAAAATACCTTTCCCCGAATTACTAGTCATCAGTAGATGGGAGAGTAAGAATTCAAATCTAGAGTTCATCTCTGAGAGAAAAAGTAAGGAAACACAAGAAACTTAGAAAAGGAAAAATCCTCTGGCTCTTCAATTATACATATTCTATAAAATTATAAAGAAAATTAACAGATTAAGTAGTCTACAAATATGTTACAATGGCAATCATATTTTTCTTTATATATAAAAATATATCTCAATCAATATGCTGTACTTCTTAAGTAAAAATGTGTTTCAAATGCCAGATACAAAAGATGAATTTTAGTTATACCGTTTTTATACAAAGAAATTATTAAAAATAACATGCAGTTTTATAGTCCCTTCTCTAGTAATTAAATACAATAGTAATTTGATACCTATTTTTTCATTCTTTCATTCATTCATTGATCTCTCCATTAAAAAAATTACCCAGAGGCTTTACTATGACAAGAACTGTTGTATATTCAGACATGGGAGAGGCCATACAAAAGGCAGGTGGACCCTAGCATCACATTCTCTTTCCTACAGAATTTCAATTCTAGGAGAGATAGGTAAGTCAGTAATTAGATCATTTTCAAAGGTGACGAATGGTAAAAATAAAGTATTGTACATCTCATATATAAAAGAATCATTCCTATTCCTATTTGCACATAGCTTAAAAACTAATTAAAGCCATAAATTACTTCCTTCTTTTAAACTTTCAATGCTGTAGTTTACTTAGAAAAGCCGAGTCAAAGTCAAAATAACAAGGTACAAAGAAACTATAAAAAAAAACTCTTGGAAATAATTACAAAAGAAGAGCCTATGAAACTGTAATTAATAGTGTTACTAAAGCAACTTGTAGTTTTAAAAGAGCTAACAAGAAAGGTTTTAGAAGAAACTATAATTTACCTGCCAAAATTAGCTGGCAAGAACTCAAGGAAAGCATCATTCAGATATAACTGGGTTAAGTTTAACAGTTGAGAAAATCCATCAGGAAGCCTGTATAAAATACAACAGAATTTAAATTAAATTTGTATACAGAGTTTTAATGTCTCACTGAAATTTGAAAAATATATGTAATCAATACATGGTTTTTTAAAACACTAACTTTATATGTATAAATATATATTTCTGAGATTTATTTATTTATGAATATAAGAACTGGGGTATAGGCCAGAGATTCTGGAGTAGGGGTGAGATGACTCACCAGAGACAGAGTAGGGAGCAGAACAGGAAGATCCACTAAAATACACTACTGAGGGGAGTGGTGGGCGAGGCAAGAGAGATCTGCTGTGCCATGTGGGATAGCTCTGTAGCTGTGATCAAACCAACATGCTACAATGGTTGCAGATAGCTACATAGTGCTAACACTTAATCCCTTGCTTGCACTGCCACCAAAGAGGTCCAATCAATACATATTCTTAAAAGATTAATAATCACTTCATTTTTAGAAGTCATCTTCAAATTAAGATACTATCTTTTATAGTAAATTACCTGTATCAGTGTTTATAATGTCATCGCTTTGTAAAAAAGAAGGGAATATCTGCCTCAATAAAATAAAATCTGCACAAAATAGTTAACTGCAAAAAAGTCTGAACAAACAAAAATACAGATAAAAGCTAAGTATAAAATCAGCAGGCACTTTTGAAATTTATCTAACATCAATCAAAAAAACCATATAAGGATCTCTATACAATGACAGTATTGATTCTGGGGGCTGTACAATTCCTTTGTGTGGGGGCTGTTGTGTTTACTATGGAATATTTAACAGCAACCTTGGCCTCTACCCACTAGAAGCCAGTATCACCTGCCACCAGAAGTTGAAAAAAAAAAAGTCTCCAGAATTCACCAAATAACCCTGGAGGGCAAAATCATCCCAACTTGAGAACAACTTGTTTAGAATATTTTCAATTTCACTATGTGGTCCCTAAATAACCAAAATATATATCTATATCTATCTGTCTATATAAATTCTATGAGAAAATATATATACATATAAAGCCAGATGGCATTTTTATTTATTTATTTATTTTTACATCACTCTTCATTTTGTGCATTTTTTCATCTCAGTTGTAATTCCCGTAGACCCTCCTTGTTGGTACAGTGGGTTAAACAACACTTTGAAGTCACCTGCAGCCACTGCAACACGAGCTCAATTTCCAGCCAGGGAGGTGACCCCCATAGCTCAGCAGACCTCTCCTGCCTCGCCTGCTACTCCCCTCAGTATTTCAGACAATCTCCCTGTTCTGCTCCTTACTCTTTCTCTGGTGAATCCTCTCACCTCCCCACACATCTGGCCTGTACCTCAGTTCTTGTACTAACCTATACTTCACTCTACCATTTTGCTTTGTCATTTTGTTTTTGGAAAACTTTGGCTTTGGTACCAGTTTGTTTACTGTCATTCATACTGTGAAAGACCATATACGACCTCTGGTATAAGGTACAACAATTTTACAGATTTTTCCCTTTCTTTGTTGCTTCCTCTTTGACCTTTTACTTTCTTATAGCTTCACATGTTTGAATGTGCCACATGCACGCATGATTTGTAGCTAAGAAATTCTTATACTATGAAAGTAACACTGAGCAAGGAGACCCAGATTTTAGTCTTATTTCTGAAATTCTGAAACACTTTCATAGTTACGTAGATGTCAAATTTACCTTTGTAAACAGAAAAATTATTACAAGTTCCCTTTTTCATTTACAAATTTGTATATATTTGGGATGGATACTACTTGTACATTAAAATGTGTAATCTACTTTATTCACAGAAATAACTCATTATTAAACAAAGAACTTACTTGGAAATAGGATTTACACTGGCCTCCACAACTGTCAGAACTTTACAATTTTTTATATTTTCTGGAAACTCCTGTATTCCTAGAAACGAACAAATAAACTAATAATCAAATTGAAAGAATCTATTACAAGAAAAAAATAAAATAATAATTAATATATTCCTTGTAGATTCAAATTTTACCAATTAAACAGTATCTAGATACTGACCAAACATCAACAAACAAAGTAAGTTCCATAATGTATTTCTTTTGTCTTTTGTTCATGACCTCTTTCTAACTTCTAATTATCTTGGTTAGTCTTACTCTTCTTTCCTTCTCTTGGCTCTTTTGAAAATTAGTATATTCTCTATGTATTGACAGGGTCAACAAAATGCAAAACACAACATTTTCCCTCTTTTTCTCAGGTGAAAATGGGCATTACTTTTTTAATGCTGGCCTCCAGACTGAGGTGGCTCCTGGTATACATATAAACAATAAAGTTGAAAACAAAGCTAAAGATAAAAGAGGCAGTAAACTACTTAGATACACCAGACAACATGCCTGAAGGCAAGATATACACCACCACTTTTGTAAAATACCACCCAAATGGTATTTTACAAAATACCATTTTAAATTCACTGTAAAGGTTTCCAAACATTTACTCAATTTACCTCACCAAAAATACAGAAACACAATTTGTGAATTAGAAACAATCCACAGGCCAGCTTCTAAGCATCATGTCAATAACATCAGAGGAATTCTAATTAATAAATATTCCTGAAGTCTATGTTTATAACAACCATTCCTTTACTAACGTGATAGGATAATTCCACAGGATTGTCTACCTTCATTATTAAATGATTCTAAGTGAAAAATTTACCACATTACCAAGTACAGAACTTTCCAGCCATAAAAAAATAAATTAGGCAGTTATCACTAACTGACAAGTACCACACTGATATCTGTTCAGTCAATAAATACTAAAATTAGTTGGTAAAAGAATGATGAATAGTAGAACATTAATAGAGTCTCACAGTTTCTCCCCAAAGGATACTTACTAATTATAAGAGGAAAAAATGTGAGCTTACAGTACAGAAAACCCATAAGCATCACCTTAAACTGCTTCAAAGTTGGCATTTACCAGTTAAAGTCATCATGTAGCAAGTAATTTAAGATACACTGAAAAACACTTGCAACATCATTACTGTTGTATTCTTGCCAAAATTACACAGCTTGAGTTTAATTATAAGCAAACATTAAATTAAAGGAAGTTCTACCATCTGACTGGCCAGCGAACTTCAAAACTCTTAAGGTCAAAAGAGAAAATAAAGGAGGAGTCCATTAGTTATCATGCAGGTACCACACACACACAAAAAAAGTCCCAAACTGAAATTACTTGTCCTCTGTATTATTCAGCAATTACATGCTAACTACATCAAATTTCAGACAGGATGCTACAGACTATAGACACTCAGCCATGGTTCCTTTTCTTGAGAAGTTAAAATGTAGCAATGAAAACAAATATTTTCATTCTATCAATATCCTTTCTTAATCATAATGTTCCTTTTCAATAGTATTTTTTCATACCCTTTTCCCTTTCATCCTTCTGACCTCTTTTCTTCAACATTCATGATGATAATGATTATCTCTAAACTCAGACTTTATATACTTTCTATAGACAGGGAACTCCCAGATATGTACAGCTAGCATAGTTTCTTCTTAACTACAGACCCCTACGAATTGCATATGTATCACAAATATCACATGTCCAAAAATGAGGTGTTTTTTTTTTTTCCATGCAAGATTACAGCTCCCACAGAAGGTCCCATTTCAGCTAATGCAACTCTATCCTTTCGTTTGCAGAGACCAATACTGCCGAGTTCATCATTGCCACTTCTCTCACATCTAAATTCATCGTGAAATTTTCAACTGCTAGATATATCTAAAGTCTGTTTATATGTTACTACTTCCACCACTATCGCCAGAAAGGACTAACCAGCACTGACTGGGTCACGTTTCACGGTTGTATCCACAATGTCCTACACAACAGTTAGTATGTAGATATCTGAGATAAGTTGTACCACAAAGACTGAAGAGTAAGTGTAAAGTTTGTGAAGTGCAAGTTCCATAGCATATGTGAGAAACTGGAAGTCAGGGTAGCAAACACACATGGAATGAAAGGGGAGCATTATAGGAACAGAGATCAGAGAAGTAGATTTAAAAGAGCACGTAATATAGGCATTTATGTGTACTTCAGCATTTACTCTTAGTGAGATGGATGTATCTTAGAAAGTTTTGAGCAGATTTCCAGAACATTATCTAATTTATGTGTTAAATGATGTTCACCATTGAACATTATTTCGCTCCATGTGTGTTTGCTACCTGGACTTTCAGTTTTTCACATATGCTATGGAATCTCACACTTCATAAACTTTATAGTTGCTCTTCAGTCTTTGTAGTACATTTTACCTCAGGTATCTACATACTAACTTCCTCAACTTGCTTTCTCAACAAAGTCTACCCTTAATCTATTATTAGCCAGTCTCCTAAATGGCTTATTTTACCCTTATACATACATAAAGTATGCAGGACCTGAATTTTATGAGTTACTTTTTAATCCTCTGTTTCAACTATTCTTTTTTCATTCTCACTTGACATCAATAGTGTTCCTTCATCACACCATTTTTTTTAAATAAAGATTTATTTATTTATGTATACAGAACTGGGGTACAGGCCAGAGGCACAGAGAGGATTCACCAAAGGCAGAGTGGGGAGCAGAACAGGCAGAAGGACGAAGAACACTGCTGAGGGGAGCAGCCAGCGCGTCAGGAGAGGTCTGCGGCACCAAGTGGGTCACCTCCGGGGTGGGGATTGAACTTATGATGAAGTGGCTTTAGCTGATTAGTGCTGTGCTTTAACCCGCTGTGCTACCAGGGAGGACCCCCTTCATCACCATTTAAAAAAAAGAATTATATTTATGCATACAAGAACTAGGGTGTAGGCCAGAGATTGAGGGGGGCTGAAGAGCATTCACTGCAAGTGGGGAGCAGAACAGGCAGATCCACTGAAATACACTGCTGAGGGGAGCAGCAGGTGAGACAGAAGAGGTCTGCTGAGCCATGTGGGTTAGCTGTCTGGCCAGGAATCAAACTCATGCTTCAGTGCTTCTGAGAGCTTCATAGTTCTGAGTCCCAACCCTTTGTGTCACCAGGGAGGCCCCTTCATCATCTATTTTTTTAAAGAATTTGATTTTGTAGTTCAAACTAAATAAAATGACCATCAGACATTAGGTTAGACATCACAAAACTAGATGGTGATTGTCTTTATATTACTTGTTTAGTAACAGAACTCTTTTTGTAAAAAAGACAGTAACTCACATGCAGGAGCTGGCCCTGATACTTTGTCTCTAATCCTACTGTAAGATAACTACCTGATATTCAAAGAGAGGCCTTGGTAACTAAATAATTTCAGCATCAACTTCAGACCAGGCCATTTGACAGATCAAGATAAAAGTCTTTCAAAATAAGGACAAAATATGAACATTTGCAATGCACAAAATACCAAGCCACCCTTTCTTACAACTAACGAGCGACTGCTAATTCCTTATCCAATGTAGTTTAAGCCTCTGCACTACACTGTAGTTTTAGCTGCACTGAGTAGATAATGATTTGTTAAGACTCCCAGACACAGAATTACTCCTAATTCTTGATAGTATCCCATGCCCAGCAAATCTATTTTCTTCAACCTTCTCCAAGTCATGAAATAAAAGCCCCAATTCTGTAACAAATATTATTTTAACCTATGTGACCATATAGTATGAATTTATGCTCCCTCCATCAAGTAATTTCAACTACAGGTGAGTTCTCTGTGATCTCTGATTGGATGCATCAAAATCTTCATGTTCTAACTGTAGAAATTAAGTTAGCAGCTATTTCTTACTGGTATTCCTAACTTTCAATAATGCTATGGCAAAAAACAATACAGACTATAACACTGAGTTTTAGTCTTAACAGTCTAAGTCAGGAATTACAAACTCAAATGGTGACACTATCTATCATTAGCTGTCTAGGGAATGACATGCACAACTGGGACTGGGTTCAATATGAGTAGTATGGCCATTGATTAGACACAATGAGGCTATCCCCCAGTTACAGTCTCTGTTGTTAACACACCTCGCAGTGACCAGTGATCATCATCTAAAATAATAATTTTTAAATATCAGGTCAATGCATCATATAATTTTTCTTCTTTCATTATTATAAATAAGCTGATTTATCACAACAGTTAAACTTGACAACAACTACTAAGCAAATGAGAAATTTTAAAAACCAAGAGAAAAATACAGTGACTTTCTCAACAGTGATAATTTTCCCTTGTGATCAACTTAACTTCTCTGAGTTTAACTGAAGAGCCTTTTCCAACAGTTTGTCCCCAACATCAGCTTTGCTTATGTTCAAGGAATTGCTTTTTTCTTTGAAAAATTTTCAGTCATTCTTCCCTGATCCGACATTTCCATATCACACAGAAAGATCTGAGCTACTTTTTCTGTCATTTGCTTTATAATTCTATCTTTTTATTCATACAGGAGAATGAACAGTAACACAGTCTTAACTTTTTTTACTTCTCCACACAATGGCTTATCCCATTCTGGCAAAGATGTTTTAATCAAATTTGTATGTAGTCTCCTCAAGAAAATAGTCCATATTTCAACACAACAGGAGATAATTTCTCTAATACCAGCTGCTATTTGCAATGCCTTGGGATAGTAGCATGCTGAACGTTTTATTTCTTTAAAAAGCTAATAGGGCCCTCCCTGGTGGCACAGCGGGTTAAAGCACAGCACTAAGAAGCTAAAGCCACTTCAGCATGAGTTCCATCCCCAGCCAGGGAGGTGACCCCACATGGTGTGGCAAACCTATCTTGACCCACCCGCTGCTCCCCTCAACAATGTACTTTGTCAGTCTGCCTATTCTGCTCCCCACTCTGTCTCTGGTGAATCCTCTCACCGCTCCTGTGCCCTGTACCCCAGTTCTGTATGCATAAATAAATAAATCTTCAAAAAGAAAGATACACAGTTCTTTTCTTTTCAAACCTTTGAACACACTACAATGGAACAGTATTGATGGTATCTACATTACTTTTCATACTATAGATTTACCAAATGTGCAATCAACAATGTACACTGCAGTTGTTACTATTTTTTCATCATTATAAACAGGGCAGGGAACATGAATAAAAACAAAAATTTAAAAGTATATGAATATGTAAACACATGTATCCATAACATTTTAATTAAAAGGTCAACTACAATTTTTCACACTTATTTTTTACTTAGCTTTAGGTTATCAAAGATCATTTATATATTAGGTTGTTGGATACATCATGACATATTTTTCTATGGTTTTCAAAGGTCATTTATTTATATAAAGGACAAAGATCAATAAATGATGCACTGCCCGATTTATTCTATAATCTTTTGCCATCTTTCAGTGAGTCCCTGTTCATAGGAGGATCTGCTGGTGGAAAACTGAACAAGGTACTGATTTACATCTTCACCTGAACTGAACTTTATACCACACAAGGAATTTCTAAGAGAGTGAAACATGATGGCACAAGGTCAGACGAGTATGATGGATGTGGCAACACATCCCATCCAAGCTTCAATGATTTTTGGCAGGTGATCAAATTTGTGTGGTCTCACGTTGTCATGATAGAACACAACTCCTTTATAATTGACATGCTTTGGACATTTCTGGATAATGGATTCGTCAAACTGTACAGCTGCTAACAGTACACACTCAAATTGATTGTAGTTTCCTTGTAGAAGCTTGAAAAACATGACACTTTTAAAATCTCACCACAATGAGCACATAGTTTTCCTCTGATCAATGTCTGCTTTTGTTGTTGTTTGAGGTGAACCATCACATTGGGACCGAGACTTCACACCACGCTGATGTAAACAATCCTCATCACCAGTTATGGGTAGTTTAAAAAAATGATTATTTTCCTCAAGTTTAACGAACATCACAAATACTTATACATATCAAATAAACTTCTTTGAGTCCATGAGGAACTCAAATATTGAGCTTGTTTATGTCTTCCAGCCTTTTTTTTTTTTGGTCTTCCAGCTTTTTGAGGTGGTCATGAATGCTTAAATGATGGATGTTCAGTGTTTCTGAAATCTCTCATCTTGTATAACATCGGTTTGACTCAATTCATGCTTTTATTTTGTCGTCATCAACCTCATTGGGCCTCCCTGACCAAGGAGCATTGTTGAGATCAAAATCACCAGCACAGAATTTAATGAACCATCAGTGATACTGTCGGTCTTAAAGAGCATTGTAACAGTGACCTTTGCACAACTTTTCACAAGGTTGACATGAGTTCTTCCCTTTATGGAAGTAAACAGTAAAATATAGCAAAATACAGAGTTTGGTCTTCCATCTTCGACTTGTAAAATCTCAGAAACTCAATCAAATCACTCACTATCTTCATATATATATATATATATATATGTATATATATATGTATGTATGTATGTATGAATAAAGTCAGAACTGTCAACTGTTAAATGAATACCAATAACATAGATGTCAATGATTCTAGCACTTCCAAAAATGAACTTGTGTCATCTGTTACAGAAATGTTTCAAGACTTTTCCAACAATCCCAATATATTAGTCTGATTTCTTCACTTTTTACTTGTTAAAATACAGTAGAAATCAAAATATAATGTCCCCAGGTACCAATAAAGGGGGGAAATCTTACCATTTTTGCTGACATCCAGTTCCCTGAGATTAATGAGATTTGCAATAGATGCTGGTAATGTTGTTAAGTCATTGTCTGGCAAACTGAGTTTATGCAGAGACTGACAGTTAAAAAGTTGCTATTGATAAAAGAGAGGAAAAGACTTTTATTACTAAAATTTCCTTAAATAACTCACACATTAACTTTTATACAATTAGTATTATTAAAACTGAGTAAGTTATACCTACACAAATACCAGAGAGGAGCTCATTGTGTTTGCAATGTGAATACAATTACACGAATAATTTACAAACTCACACTTTTGCCCTGACACAATGCACTCAGTGAGAATAAGCATATGGTTGTGGTCTCTGTTGAGACAGTAAAAATAAATGACTATTAAAAATAGTAAACTTTGGAGTTTGTACTTCAAGCATCCTTAATCCAAAATCAAAGTTCATACAATTTATATCAAAACAGTAAGTACAACTGATTTTAAACAACAATTTGGGAGGAAAGACAAAACAGTTAAGGGAACAAATACACTGTTACATTAAAAGCACAATAATGAAATGTTATCTAAAAATACAGGTAACCAAAGGTAATAGGTAAATGGATCACTTCTTAATTCCAAGCCAAAAAAGCTGGAGCATTAAAGATTTCTAGGGAAGTGAAAAATAGCATAATTTCAACTGGATTTGACTGTCCTTTTGACTGTTTTTCTTTATATTCTTCATGAATGAAATCAGACAGTATTTGTCTTTCTCCTGACTTACTATGCTTAGCATAATCCCCTCAACTGACACTCAAATAGATGTCTGCAAGTCTACTGGCTGAAGAAATTGTATAGCTTTTTACTTTAGTAACTATAAAAAAACTGGAATTAAAATATAAAACCTTAAGAATTTTATAACAAATATTCAATAATTAATGAAGAAATAACAGGTTAAAATCTTTAAAAAAAAATTGAACTGTGCTGCATATTCTTAAGACAACATTAAACCAAAAAAAGAGAAAAGTACACATATCTATCTGCACTACTGTGGCAATACTGAGAATGGTATTTCTAGACATAAAAATATTCAAAGCAATTCTTAGAAGACAGTATTTAGATACCTTTGGAAGCTCTTCAATCTGATTAGCATCTAAGTAGAGCTCCTCCAAAGTTTTTTCAAAAGTAAAAATCTCTTTGGGAACCTGTTCCAAACTGCAATGGGAATAATCAAGTGTGGTGACAGTCTCCTCTTCCCCTCGTAGACAACGACATGGTACCAAACGCACAAACAAACTTCGTTTAGTAGTCATTTTTAGATACTGTAATATGCAAGTAAAAATAAATTAGTTAAAAATGCTTTTCAAAACAAATTATTTCAATTAATTTATCAAATTGATTTATCTCTGATAAATACCTCTACCCATAAAGTAATAATAAAATACATTATTTTACTATCAAAATCTATATATTCTGAATTTCAAGTTAAATTCAAGCATTTTTGACCTTTGCAAAATGAGCTAATCAAACTAATAATCCCAAACCATTAAATCCTATGTAGTTCCATAAGAACCATACTTTACAAGTCTACTTACCCACAGTAAGAAAAACCCTAATACAACAAAGAGAGTTTTTTAATTTCTGACTAGAGCTGTTGCTTGACTAAGGACTTGAATATCTACAGTTATTGAGTAGGAAGTGGGGAAAACAAAGATATTTCAAGTCTTTTTAACTAACCATCATTACCAATCATCCTTAAACTTTAGTAAGACATTTTCATATCAAAAGTTCAATCTCTGCGAAGTATATTTTGTTTCAGCTAAATACTGGTGTTTCAATTTTGCTAAAGAGCTTATTGGTCTTGCCTTTAAGATACACTAAACAACAAATTTGCTTTAATAAAGTAAAATGTCATTATTTCGAATCCACTGGTAGAAAGGTTGAATTCTAAGCTACTGCATATTCTCCCAGCAAATTTTATTAAGAATACAATGTATGTACAATGTATGGTTTATTCCAGTAGACTAAAAAGAAAAGCCAACTTTACTAAAATGAGAATTGATAATCAGTATTACCAATTATTTATAAAATGATAAATTCTTACCCTTCATAGAAGACTATCAGAGTATTAGATTACGTCTAACAAGTATGAAACTAGGCTGAAGGCAGTGAAGCAAGTGCCCCAGACACAAAATATAAAGTGGCATCCCCAAAAGCCCCCAGCAATCAAATTATTTTCATACAATGTTTAAAGAAAATCAACATCACTAAAAACTTACCAATTTATGAACAAAATAGCCAATTGTTAAAAATTAAAGAGGATCAGCCCTCCCTGGTGGCACAGCAGGTTAAAGCACAGCACTGAGAATCTAAAGCCACTTCCTCATGAGTTTGATTCCCACCTGCCCGGGAGGTGACCATATGGCATGGCAGACCTCTCCTGACCCGCCCGCTGCTCCCCTCAGCAGTGTGCTCCATCGATCTGCCTGTTCTGTTCCCCACTCTGTCTCTGGTGAAGCCTCTCACCGCCCCTGAGCCTCTGGCCTGTACCCCAGTTCTGTATGCACAAATAAATAAATCCTTTAAAAAAAAATTAAAGAGGATCAATGTTACTGGTTTTTAATTTATTTTTTACATCATTCGTCATTTTGTGCATTTTTCCATCTCAATTGTAATCCCCATGGATTTCCTACCATCAATTCACCCATGCGCCATCATTTAGTCCTTTGTACGCTTCCCAACCCAGTTTTGATCCTATTCGCCTCTCCATCCCCATAGAATGTCTCTGGTTTATAGCTGATCGTTGTTTTTCATTTTTACATTTACAATTGCTTTATTTTTTTCCTGACCCCTTACACTCCTGCTATGTGTGAAACCAACCAGTATTTTTCTTTTTCTTGCTGGCTTAAAGCATGATTTTTTCCAGCTCCATTCATGTTGCTGCAAAAGGCATGTGTTTATTTTTTTTGGTTGCTGAGTAATATTTCATTGTGTATATGTACATCTTTTCAATCCAGTCATCTACTTTTGGGCATTTGGGTTGTTTCCATGTCTGTCCAATTGTAAATAAACCAGCAATAAGCATGGGGGTGCAGGTATCTTTCTGAGCCAGTGTTTTTGTGCCTTTTGGGTAGATACTTAGGAGCAGGATTGCTGGATCATATGGAAGTTCCATTTTTAGCAGCTTGAGAAACCTCCAAACAGCTTCCCATAGTGGTTGTACCAATTTGCATTCCCAGTTACTGACTTTTTCACTTTTGCCTCAGAATCCAATAAAGATCCAGAAAGCACACTTAACTCTTCTAATTTAAATGATATGACAGTCTTAAAGTGTTTGACTAGAAAATATTTAAATGATATTTAAATATTTCCCTTGCAATCTTTAAGACAAGCTGCAATTCCCAGTTACAATATGTCAGGCACTACTGTAACTTCTTTCAACTATATTCATATTCTTATTTCACCTTTATATATTTAATCTCTAAGATATGTGCTATTATCCTTTTTTTTTTTTAAGGATTTATTTATTTGTGCATACAGAACTGGGGTACAGGCCAGAGGCTCAGGGGCAGCAAGAGGCTTCACCAGAGACAGAGTGGGGAACAGAACAGGCAGAT